ACTGGGTTCTCTTTCTGGGAACACTAGAGCATGGGTACTGTCAAGGTATGTGTCTCCAATGCAGAGGGACACGAGGTAAGGCAATTGGAAATCCATGTGATGGAACTGGTAGAAACAGTAGTGGCTCTTTGGTGAAGGATAGTGCTTCTCAAACTCACCTATCCAAGAGCAGGCATCCCCATGGGGCTTCTAGAAACTCACCCCTCAGGTCCCACTTGGACCTGCTCAGTTACAACCTACGCAGAGATTCCCCAGGTGGTGCGGCTACACATGGGTCTCTCTGCAGGGACATGGAAAGCTATGGGTGACTGTGCTAGCCTTAGAGCTTCGAAGGGTGCTCTGAGCATGGCAATGTTAAAAGTTCCCCAAGGAACTTCTTATGCAAAGCCAGAGGTGGGAGCAAGGTAGCTAGAGAGGAGAGGACTCCAAGAAGGGATTGCAGAATGTGTTCAAATTCTAGCAGGCTTCTTATGGGGAAAAGCACAACTTTTTGGGTGACCCTTGAAAAAGCAAAGATAAGAAGAAAGTTCCACAGACATTAGGAGCAGGGAAGAGCTGTCCACAGACGGAATAGGCTCTATCTCTGGCATGGGAGATGCCCAGGGGTTGTGATCACTTAGGATGTAGTAGGGGGTTCCTGTCAGAAAGAGAGGTTCAGGCTGACTCTGAGGGCCCGTCCCTTCCCTGATGGCTAGGAGAGTTCAAAGGGCAGCTGGAGGCTGAAGCCCGAGCTAGGCATCACAGCAATGAGGACTACCTCTCAACCTTCTCTCCTATACAGGGACAGTGGCTTCTCTAGCCAGGGCCTGGATACCTATGTGGAGATGAGACCAGTCTCTACTTCAAGTGACTCCTTCTTTGAACAAGGTGAGGATGTCCCAGGGCCAGGGTCAGGGGAGAGGTGGGAGGCTGTTGGGAGGTAGGCGATGGGGCCAGGGAAGGCAGGGCTGTGACAGGACTCTCCTGATACTTCTTCCCATTGCAGACCTGGATAAGGAGGAGAAGCGGCCGCTGGAGCTCTGGGACCTACTGCACTTCTCAAGCCAGGTGGCCCAGGGCATGGCCTTCCTGGCTTCCAAGAACGTAAGTCACTGCTGGGTGTGATGACACACTCGTGTAGTCCCAGCACTCAGGAGGATGAGATGGGAGGATTGCTGTGAGTTCAGGGCCAGCCTGGACTACAAAATGAATTTAAGCCAGCCTGATCCTGTCTCAAAAAAAAAAAAGAATGTGAGTCAGAACCACTGTGGTACTCAGGTCACCGGTGTGGTCAGCCAGAGCCCTATGGTGCTGAATGAATGAGAAGGGGCAGGAAAGGGGAGTACGGTGGTGTGAGGGAGGAAGGGGAGCACAAGAGAGCAAGCAGGAGTGCATGGGACACATCTGTGCCCTGGGTGGTTTCTTCAGGAGGGGCACGCCTCCAAACGGGAGTGGCTGTTTCCTGGGGTGGTTCAAAACAGATTTTAGTCATTCATTCTTACTAAGCACTATAAAGGGGGCAACAGCTTTCTCCCATGTGAAGTACATGGCCTCGTGGGATGGAACCAGAACCTTCCTCATGGGGTTGTGATACTTTCCGCCCAGCACCCAGTGCTCAGGAATGGGAGCTCTATCATCAGAACAGACTTGGGGGTCAAGGGCTTGACTGTGACTGACACGTGTAGGACTCTAAGCAGCTGATTTAAGTTCTCTGAGCCTCATCCTCTTTATCTGTAACAATGGCATAATCACCATTGTCTGAGGATACAATCCAGCTTTAATGTGTACGAACACTTGGGGAGAGACCAGGCCTGGAGCTGGGAGCAGCTAGCGTTGCGCTAACAGGATGGGCCAGGAATTGTGTGCAGCACAGTGGGTCACTGCTTCTGGGGCCAAGGGCCACCCGAACTTCTCGAAAGCAGCTCTTGTTCAGAGGCAAACAGCAAGATGGCTACTGAGGCCATCTGTAGGGTGGTGGTGGCTTCTAAACAGCTGTGTGGGCACATCAAATTTTCTCAACCCCTGGGCTGTGGTAGATTTTGACAAGAGTTCAGGATAGAGATGACTGAGGTCTACTCCCTTGGGGACCCTAAGGCCTTGTGGGGCCCCCTCTACCCCTCCTCATGACAGGCTCAGATAGAAGAGGGCTGAGACTAACCCCGCAGGGCTTCCCCTCAGTGTATCCACCGGGATGTGGCTGCTCGAAATGTGCTGCTGACCAATGGGCATGTGGCCAAGATTGGGGACTTCGGGCTCGCTAGGGACATCATGAATGACTCCAACTATATCGTCAAGGGCAACGTGAGTACTGGGAAGGATAGGATGGGCTAAGGAAGAGACAGAAGGCCAGGGCCCAAAGTAACAGCATAATCTTTCCAGGCTCGCCTGCCTGTGAAGTGGATGGCACCAGAGAGCATCTTTGACTGTGTCTACACGGTTCAGAGTGACGTCTGGTCCTACGGCATCCTGCTCTGGGAGATTTTCTCACTTGGTGAGCCACTGAGTGCATTCCAGGCCCACCTGGCCTGGTTCCTCACTGGCTAGCCCACCAGTGTGTCACACCTCATGAAGGAATCTAGTCAAGGGTGCCTGTGCCCAGGGCAGCACGAGGACTGTGGAAGGGAGGGGATGGGCAGGAGCCTTCAAATACGCCCGCTGAGCCCTTGCTCCGTTTGCCTCCCTTGTGCAGCTGCTTTTCTCTACAACACTGGTGGTCCTCTGTCCAAAAGCAACATACTCTTGCAGATGTAGCTTATTATTGGGCCCCATTTCCTGAGGACTAGACACAGGGATCTGTGCTAAGTTCTCAAATGCACTCCTCTACCAACTTCCTAAGACCTGGCATGGGCCCCACCAGGTCTGACTGCAGAGCCCATGCCGTAGATGTTTGCCTGTGTGGGGTGGTAATGCCTGGGATCCAGGCATTTCACACAGTAAGCCCTGGGGAAGAGTAGCTGCCACGCTGGGGCCAGTGTCCCAGTGGGGCCCTTTATGCACCATCTCACTGGGTGGGGAAGGAGGAAGCATGAGTATGGCCTCTTATGTGATCCTGGCCTTTACAGGGCTGAACCCCTACCCTGGCATCCTGGTCAACAGCAAGTTCTACAAACTGGTGAGAGATGGATACCAAATGGCCCAGCCTGCCTTTGCCCCAAAGAACATGTACGTGAAAGGGCCCTGGTTGGGTGGGGGGTGGGGCGGGGGGTGGGATGGGATGTTCAGGCTTTGGTTGGAAGGAGCTGGAAGGGGATGTCTTTCTCTGCCCCAAATGCTCCAGGGCCAGGTTTCATCTCCCCAGAGAATCTAGAAGAATCCCCTTTTTCTGCAGATCAGGGTTTCTACTGGTTTCCCAGGTACCACGGAGGATGGCCTCAGAGAAGGTTCTGAACTGGGGCAGGCCCTAACCTCAGCCAGACTTTTAACTCAGACTGTTTTTACGATGACCTTAAGGACAGCAGATTCTTGTCAGAATGGGGGTGAGAACGTATTTTCCAAGAGTTACCATAATGACTGAGGTAAAGCATGCCAAAGACATAGATTGTTCTATACCAACCTTTTTTGTCCCCCAACTGGGGATGGGATGGACACTGAGGCCCACGCATGCTAGACAAGCAGTCCACCACTGAGCTCCATCTACAGTCCACAAACTCACATTTTGTCCACCATATATATATAATGGTCCCTAGGCCCAAGGAGTTTCACTTGGGCAACTTCCATCCTGTTTCCAGATATAGCATCATGCAAGCCTGCTGGGACCTGGAGCCCACAAACAGACCCACCTTCCAGCAGATCTGTTCCCTTCTGCAAGAGCAGGTCCATGCAGACAGGAGAGTGCAGGTGAGAGGAGCTGGGCATGGAACGGCTGGAGGGCTGGCCAGAGCTGCAGGGCTGGGCCTAACACTCTGGACTATCCCGGCCCCTCCCACCCTCAGGACTACGCCAATCTGCCAAGCAGTAGCAGTGGCAGTGGTAGTGATGGCAGCAGCAGCAGCGGCAACAGCAGCAGCAGCCACAGCGAGCTGGAAGAAGCAAGCTCCAGCGAGCACCTGGCCTGTTGTGAGCCAGGGGACGTCGCGCAGCCCCTGCTGCAGCCCAACAACTATCAGTTCTGCTGAGGTGGTGATGACGGGCAGTACTCTCCCCACCACCAAGCTTCAATTCCTCCATGAATGGGGCAACATGGGGGAGAACATACAAACTCTGCCCTTGGTTGTTCCCATAGCTTGGCCCAGCTCTAAAACTTGAGGATGTGAGGGGTTCTGGGGAGGTCAAAAGACCCCACTCCCAGAGCCTGGGCCATCACTGCCATTTAGGGGCTGAGCCCTTTCAACTCTCCCCCACTGTTCTCATGATGTTGGACTCACGTTCGCTGACAACTGGTAAAAGCCCCAGCTCACTCCCACCCGTGTTGGCACTTCACTTCCCAAATCCTCTCACGTCTCTATGGAAATAAGACTGTTTGGATGAAGTGCCTGGATACTGAGAAAACAAGGCTCTGTGGAGCCAGCAAGTGGTGGGATTATATTCTAAACCAGTGGAGCAGCAGGACTGGACCTCTCAGACCACAGGTCCCCTGGGGCAAGGTGGCCCTCTCTGTATGAACCCAACAGGGCCTTCAGCATTTGCCCGACAGCCATCTTCACTTGGCAGCCCATCCTACCCTAGAATTGGCACTGCTGTAATGAGCCACGTGGCAGCTAAATGTGAGGGGTGCTTGCCCAGTTCCGTCATTCTGGCTGGAAGAAGGCACAGGACTTTGGTGTGTGGCTGGCCACACCAATCAAGAAGCTCGCAGTCCCCCAAGCTGACACATCTAACTAACAGTCACGCTGAGGGATGTTCTCTGTAAACATTAAACTAACAGCATTAACACAGCCAGCCTCTGGTACTCTGTGTCACATATGTGCCTGTGAATTCCTGAGAATCTTCTCTGTTCCTCCTTCACATGAAGTGACATGCCTAGGACCCCAGAACCCTGCCCACACTGTGCCCCACACAATGAGCATAGAACTAGCTCTTGCTTCATCAAAACCAGTTAATTTAATAAACTTTATTCTTGTTGGGGGGAGGGGGGCACCTACTCCACTCCTGTCAATAAATTAAACACTTGGCCTGTTCCTGGGCCCTAAGCAAACCATGGGTACTTGAGCCAGTCCCGCTGTTTCTGTACAGCCCAGTCTGCTTCCCCTTCACAGAAGGGAGTTTTCCTACTGCTGCCAGGTTATGTCACAGGACCACAGGCCACATCCCCTCTGGTGAGGATCCCAGGGCCCAGAGAGGATGTCGGGTGCAGCAGCAGTGGCCAGGGAAAGGAGGAAGGGGACTATCTTCCCCAAAGCTCAAGGAAGAGGACAGTCCTGGAAAAAAGCTGTGGCTGACTGTTCCTCCCTCCTGTTTCCCACAAATGTGGTACAGGAAGAGCTGGAGAAAAATGCATCCTTCCTTTGGGAAGAATCAAGAGCCCAAAAGGATGCTGAGTAGGAATGAGGCCACCCAGGCCCTGGGTCAGAGGCAATGGGCCAAGAAGTCCATGTGGCTCTAGATCTGGACCAGGTTTCCCCATGTAGAAGAGATAAGTCACCTAGCACGGACTTTTGCCTCAGCCACCCAAAGACCTCCACCCCACCTCCATCAGGCCCCAGAGAGCTGGCTACCAGCCTTTCCTTCAGCCTCCCTCCCCTCCCATAAGCATATTACCTCACAAGTGCTCTCTCAGGGCCAGTAGACGGTTTCCTGACCCTTCTCCTGAGCCCCCAAGGACAGAGAAGCATGGTCTCTGGACCCCGGTGTGCTTAGGAAATGGAAGCTCTTTGGTCAGTCCCAGCAGTCAGAGACCCTGCCTCTGCAGGGCAAAGCCTGCCCTGGGCAAAGGCTGTGCTATGGCTTGAGAGATGATGCAGTCCCTGTACAACACCCTAGCTTATTCTGCCGCTGTGGCCGCCTCCTCTTGCTCTCCCTCTTCCTCAGGTTCTGTCTTGATCTGAGCAACCCCAAGGCGGTAGAGGGTGTCACGAATGACCACTTCACCAGGCTGGCAGTTCTGCACAATATCATGGATCTGTCTGTTGACAATCTCACGGCTGGTGAGGAAGTCCATGAGGCGGTTGTAGAGGTAATAGTGAGTGGCATTGTCAAAGGCAATGGGACGCCGGCGGACACTGTCTGATTTGCTGTCCGTAATGGAGGCTAGGATAGACATGTAGGGTGCCAACTCGGGGCACAGGGATAAGGAGTGGTGCCCAGCACTGGGGTCACCAGGACTTGGCTGCGTGCCTGCATGGACAATGCGCCGCACAGCACTCTTGGTGACAGGGTGCTGGACAGAGTGTTCAGCCTCTGTCACATCCACAGAATTATGCTGGTCCAAGAGCTCAGGGCAGGACACAGTCTAGAAGAGAGATGAGAAGCCATTTTGACACGAGGAAATGACCAAGTATATGCCATGGCTGGGGAAAAGGAAGGGCAAGGGGTCAGCCAGCCTTGTTAAAATCCTAGTGTCGCTGTGCAGTTATCTCGTAAGTTAAATCTCATCCCTCTCCTCTGTGACTGGTTCATGTGACAAGGGGGACAGAACAGTCCCCACCCCACAGAACAGATGTTGGACTGCTTCAGGGACTATTATTGTATATAGTCAATTCAGGCTGCAGGGTGAGAGCCACCTCTCAGAGAGAAAGGCTAAAAACCTTTCTGGAGTCCTCAGCACAAACTTCTCGAGCCTAGGAGCCCCAGGGAGTGATAACAACAATGTCCCCTTCAAGGCACAGCTGGAGGCCTTCTTCCCCACACATACAGTGGCATGGGTACCTGCTCTCCTTCTGCTCCTTCCCTGTTTCTTCATATCCATCCTAAGGCCTCTTCCAACAAAGGTCGAAGGTTCACCTTGAGGGTTGTGACTTTGCTAAGAACTACTGCCTGGCACAATTTACCAAGACACAGAGACAAGAGATTTGTACGACCCTGGTCAAGTTCATTTTCTGCTCTGGGCCTTAGTTTCTTTTTTTTTTAAAAAAAGGACTGGGGCAGAGAAGATCAGTGTTCAAGGCTTAACCCAGGGTCTGACTGAGTTTGGACAATGATTCTCAAAGATGACATTATTCAAGCTGTATCTGGAAAGCAAGGTCCTTTAATTCAAGATCCCTAAGTTTAGGATACCTCCAGCACATTAAATGACACACTATGGCTTCAGACACAGTGGAAACTCAGTAAAAAGTGAGGGAGTAGATGCTGGTTAAGCATATCCAGACCAGATACTGGTGGAGCAGAAGAAGGTGTACCTTCTAGCTGGACCCCCTAAAGAGCCACAGGAGCAGGAAATATTCAACTGGGGGAGTCCAGTTTCTCAGCAGGAGACTTACCACCGGTGGCTCTGTAGGGCTAGAGAAGCAGCCCTGGTTCTTCCCCCACATTTGGCTGGTCAGCTCTGGGTAGCAGAGATCAGCACACAAGGCCACGGGTGTAGCCATGTCTACCACGTAGACAGGTGGCCAGTGGCGTGAAGAGGCAAGCAGGTCCACATGGTCACGGGCACTCTCACCACGAACAAGATACTTGGAGCCGCAGACCACCTGGAGGGAGATGGAGGGCCCAGCCAGGGTTAAGAGCTACAACTCCAAATCCAACTCCAATGGTGGGGTTCTGGCTTACTTCTCCCCAAGAAAGGGAACACTCAGGTTCATGACTGAGCCAGGGCATTCTACCAGAGTCAATGACATTCTATTCTCTTCCTACTTCCGTCCTTAAATGAAGTCAACTCTTCTCCTGAGAAGAGTTGGGGGATCCTGTTCTCCATTTAGGTGAAAAGGCCTTTTGGGACATTTCCTCTCACCTCTACTCCTTCCACAGAACTACCAAGCATCAGCCAGTGGTTCCTCATCCTAGCTGCCCAGTACCAGTGGCTAATGGCTGGCTAAAGAAGGGAGATTCCTGGGCCCTATCCCAAGCCTAAGAATTATGGTCTCTGGGTCTAAGGATCAGTACTTTGAGGAAGCTCTTCACCTGCCCCAAATATGCTAACCTGCTGGAGCCCTGGTATAATCTAGGGGCCCAGGCTCCAGCACCATTTCATTCCACTGCAGGACAGCTCTGAGTATAATGGAGAATACCACCTTCACACCCGCCTGGCAGTTGCTTCCAAGTCATACACTGCCCCCCACAGCCCCAAGACCACTTGAGTCTTTGTGCCATCAACTGCTTTTCAAATAGGATTCCTCCAATCACATGAGCACTACCCTCTGACCCAGGTTGGAAGCATCTCCTTTATATACAGTTTTTGTCCAAGGAGTTAATAAACTCATTCTCCTTTTAGAGTCACCCTGCTGACTCATACACCTCAATGAATTGAGGACCCTCTGCTCCCTATTTAGTAGTTGTTTAGGAGGTTGTTGTTTTTTTTTTTTTTTTTGGGTTATTATTTTTTTTTTTTTTTTTTTTTTTTTTTTTTTTTTTTTTTTTTTTTTTTTTTTTTTTTTTGTACCGGGGATGGAACTCAGGACCCTGTGCTTGCCAGGCAAGTGCTTATTCTACTGAGCTACCTCCCCGGCCCTATTCAGTACTTGGTAACAGCCCTGAGTTTTCTGTTCTAGTATCTTCCTGATCCTGCTGTCACCAGGTACACAAGCTGTCTTGGAGCTATCCTCGTACCCACTGCATCAACATCCTTCTACAGACATATGGAGTGGTCTTCTCAAAATCAAAATCATGCTGGGGAAAGTGGCTTATGTCCGTAAGCCCAACTTGAGGACAAGGAAGAGGAAAGCAAGTTCCGTGTCAGTCTGGAGAGCACAAGACTGTCTCAAAAAGACTAGGAATGTAACTCAGTCACTGACTGCGTTTCCACTATGCGCATGTCCTGCATTCAAGCCCCAGTGCAACAAAACATTGAACCAAGTCAAAACAAAATCACACCCGACTTCCCATTCAACATGACCCAAAAGGCCCCTCCCTCTCAGGACAAAATCCCAGCAGTTGCTCTGGCCTCTAGTGGTCCCTCTGCTGGGGAGTACGCGCCCTGGCTCACTGCTGACACAGTGCACCTACCCTTGCACTCAAGCCTTCTCTGGTAGACAGCAGTCTCTGCCTGTTTCTTTCTATCTTGGGACCTTGTCTGGTTCCTTCAGAGCTATCACTACAAGCCAGGCCAACTTTTATTTTTTCACTAAAATATGAGGTTAACTGAGAAAGAATTACATCTTTGTTCCTTACTCTATCTTTAACAGGTGACTCATAGCTTGGCACATGGTAGGGTACGTGATAAATATCCAATGAGTCACCAACACTCTCTCCTCAGCCCAAACGATGGCCCCTGACTCTGGTGCAGTCACTCCACAGGCTACATAGCAACTGTAGTACCAAACCCCAAAGGATGAGCGGACCAGACTGTCTGTGAACAGCTTCACATCAGCAAGCTCACCCCAAGTTCTCCCTTGCTACTCTCTTACCTGATGGGGGCACACTTTGTAGATTTTACCCCCTGTAAGATGTGGTGGGGTCTGTCTAGCTCGCGCTCCATTCTGTACAGATTCATAGAGGGCCAATAAAGAGAAACAGAGCTGGTCCTGGAAAAGGACAAGATTAGAAAAAGTGAATGCTAAGGGACCAGGCCTAGTGCTCAGCATTAAATATGCACTCCATGCAAAGGCAAAAAGATCAACCGCCAGGCCGGTGTGGGTCTGTATGCTCACCCAGCCAGTGCTCCCCAAGGCACAGGCAGAAAACGGAGCACAGCACACACCCTCGCTCCGCACCCGCTGCCCAAGATCAGGTCACAAAAAGCCCAGCCAAAAAAAAAGGATGAGGGGCCGGGGAGATGGCTCAGTAGAGTAAGTGCTTCCCTGGCAAGCGCAAGGGCCTGAGTTCAATTCCTGCCCCCCCCCCAAAAAAAAGCCCAGCCAGAATGACCAAGCCACTAGCATCTAGGGTCAGGGGCCTCCCTGTTTTCAGAGGTCAAAGAAGCCTTCAAAGAGGAATATTTGAATCTGAATTTAAAGGAAGCACATGCTTTCAACAGCACAGAAATATAAAGGCCAACAAAGTACTGTACAAATAAAGCCCATACACACATATACACAATCCATGCATCTAATAACAGTAGCCACTTTTAATTTTTAAGAGTCCAAAAAGCAGACACTATAACACATTCCTTACAGTAAACTCGCAGGGTTGCAATTTTAATTATTTTAATTTTACAAATGAGGAAAATGAAGATCAAAATGTAGGATAGTTTATTTAAGGTCTTACTTTTAACAAAAGTCAGGATTCCTGACTGCAGTGTCCAGGCCACTACTTCTAACAGGAGGGACTGACTGCAAGCCAAGGACTCCACACACACCCCGATCTGGCTGCTGCCACCTTCCCAGCCCCCTCAGGGCCAGCACCTTTGCCCGATGGAGGGGTCCAGGCACCACGTTCACGTCTCCCCAGAGAAGAAGAGAGACCCACCCCACCGGTCTGCTCCCACAGCCTCAATCTCCACCACTGGCCCCACACTCACCCTGCAGTCTCCTGCTGTGAAAGGGATGCTGCACTGCCCCAGCAGGTACCGCAGCTCCTCCTCACTGTAGGAGCCTATCTTCTCAAGACGGCAGGTGCCTTCCTGGAGCAGCCGCACCAAGGCACTGCCGTTGCCTGCAAGAGAGGACAGTGGAGACGAGAGGTACTTTTGCAGCCGCCAGAGGCCACAGGTGGCCCCCAGTGCTGGGGGATCGTAACAAGGGGCTGAGTCTGCAGAACAGCAAGCAATACAAAGAAGCTCAGCACTGAGCACTTCCGGGGATGCTGAGGACTCAAGGCAGGGCTCCAACCTGTGCAGACACTTGGTCTCTCACAACTGGAACATGTTCTGGCACATCTACAAGAGAAACCTAGCATATGGACACTGCCAAGAACCCTGACATGCACCAGCTCTTAGCCCAAAGTCTTCTATTTTCTAAAGCCAAGAGCACAGATGCTTATTATACATGCAACGAGGATCAGGAGCCATATTTTACAAATGTTCTTTGTATGGTATGATCTTTGTTAGTCAAGGAAACTAGGTGGGGACTTTTCAAAATACCTGCGCCTTGCTTGTCATGACATGCCAGTTGCTACTGTGCTGTCTCTTGGGTAGATGATTGTTCAAAAAGAAGGGGGTGGTGAATGAAGGCAAGAGATAGGAAAAGGAATATTGTGGGACGTCCTGCTTCAAGGTTGTATATGGTTAGATTTTTGGGCTTATGTGTAAACATAAGAAGTATATAATTCTTTATGCCCATTTTTAAAAATATATTCTAACTTTTAAATGGTTTTTCATCATATTCTATAGGGACTTAAAGTTCAACATATCAATACTTGATGAAAAATACCTGTTCCATGTTATGCCTAAGATGTTTGATATTCAGACAGATAGTGAGGTTAAGTTTAACAGCCTAGGTTGTATGGTAATAATAATAAGCTTGTCTTGTGGATGGTTAACAACCTAAGTTTTCAGACCAAAATTAGAGAAAAAGGAGGGCTGCAAGGAAAGCCAACATTTTGGCCCTAGCCTTCCAAGTTCAATTAAGACTCAGGACATGTAGAGTGTGCCTAAGGAGAGTCACTTGGAGAGAAAACATTCTCTCAGGCTTTCACAGACAGCACATTGGCCCAGCAATGGCCGTGACTCATCCACATGGCTGACACTGACAAAGGTTCTACAATCTGAGGTACAGGATCTCAGGATAAATCCTGAGGGGATTTCACTGACCTTATCAGACCCAAAAGCTACAACTCTTGTTTCATACCTTGGTCTTAACCATCCAGCACAAAAGTATAAAAACGAAATATAAGAAGTAAAGCCATGCTGTTATTTTGAGCTATAGGGGACTCAGGTCAACAATTTCTGACATTGCCAGTGAAGCAGAAGACCCAATACTATTATGGGCTACTGGACTCTTTTAGAATATTTTACTAAGTTTACACACCTATAATATTCAAATAACGGAACTAAACAACAAAAAGGGGATGCAAATGAATGTCCATTTTGTATTTGTGTATTCCAAGTGGTTAGGATAGATGTATAGTTACATTCTCTTAATGAATAGAGGGATTTGTTCTAATGGTGTTTGTAAATAGGATATCATGTCCGCATCTTGTACAGCAATTAACCACTAGGAAGAATGTATGCAATGTGTTAATTATTGAAACTGTCCTACCAATTTGGTTTGAAACTGTCTCATTGCTATTTGTTTCTCAATAAAATTATGGAAAAAAAAATAAAAAAAATAATAAAATCAAGATTTTAAATCAAGGAAAAAAAACCAAAACAAAAAAACCTAGACCTTGAAACAGCAAAGATAAGGTGGGGCCTGAACAACAAATGTTAGAAAGCAATATCTGAGAGTAAGTGGATTACAGTGGATAATTAAGTACTTAGTAAATCAATTTATCTAGACAGGTCAATCTGGATAGGTCATATCCAGAATTTTGAAAATGAGATAAAATAAGATTAAAAGTATATAGCATCAGCATGGAAAAGTATTGCTTTGTGAAGTTTTGTTTCAGTTACAGAGATGTACACCTACGTGTACATGTGGATTACAGGGCCAGAATGCAAAATGCATCTCTTACCATGAGCTGCAAGGCCATCACCGACTGTGCTAACTTAGCAGGCTGGGAGGTGATGGTGTGAGCAAGTACTCCTTGTAAATGTAGCAGAGGCTCAGCGCACTGAGTAGCTCCTCAGAGGTCACGCAGCTATTAGGCAGCACAGCTAGGAATTGGACCCAAGTCTGTGTTCTTCACAGCTAGTCCAGTGCTTCTTGATGTGTAGCCCACAAACCATCTACCAAGCTATCTGAAAAATCAGTTTTGAAGGCAAATGCCTCGGCCTCACCACACCCTTTCTCAATGAAAGCCTTTGGGGTTGAACATCAGTATTTTTCTAAGATTTCCACTGCTCAGGGTAGTGTATCCCAGGAGGCTGGCAGTAAGCTGTTTCTATCCTGTGTAACACAGCCAGTAACTTTTTAAAACTCTGCACCCTGCTTTTCACTTCCAGAGGTTTTGTCACAGGCTGTCATCATTCTTCTAGGAGTCCTCTGGGTGAGCCCAGCCCGCTCTCTTCACTGTACTGTCCCGCCAATGACAGTGCCCACTCTTCACTGAGCCCTTCCCAAGGCTAGCAGCCATCGAGAAGCCTTACCAGGTACTGGCTGTGCATCCAGGTTTTTGTCTTTCTCTGTGTTGACGACCACAGCTCCTCTCATGAGTGGAGGGAAGAAGGGGGCAATGACAGAGGCATCAAATTTAGTGATAGGGATGCTGGCAGGGAATGCCACTTGCTCAATAACCTCCGTCTCCATCGTGGCCCAAAAGTCCTCCACATTCACCTCACTGGAGCCCAGGAATTCAGGCCAGGTGAACTAAAACATCAAGATTAGAAGGATGAAACTAGAGGAACCAGAATGTTAGTACCAACAGCCTTCACTCCTTCACCATACACATAGGAAATCAGGGCTTGGCAAAGGACACCTGACAGGCATGCACTATCAGCTCATTTGGAACCTGACACTTTAGTACCAACTGCCTTTTCTTTCTGCCATACCAAAGTATTCTCCAAGATGGAAGAAGTCCCAGGTCCCCTGCTCTTGTATTTATGTCATTTTCCCTTTCTTGTGAGGAAAAACGAGGTACCATTTTCTTTTTTTTTTTTTTTTTTTTTTTTTTTTTTGGCTGTACCAGGGATCAAACTTAGGACCTTGTGCTTTCTAGGCAAGCATTTATACCACTGAGCTATTTCCCCAGCCTTGGAGCTACCATTTGAATGAATTTTATATACCAGATAATTTTAAATTAATAAATCTAGAGGATATCTAAATGAGACTACTAGAACCAGTAAGAAACAAGAATATCAACATAGGTCTATCCTTAAATCAACCCCTATACCTGCCGGCAAGAATACTCAAGAAAAATTATGCCCATATTCCAAGGCCTCATGAATTCTCTTTTTCCTTCAAGAGGCCCTCCTAGTTCTAAAAGCACAAAGATATCACCTCTATGCCAAGTACCATTTATTATCTAGTGCTCATACTGATCAATTTTTCTTCTTTTTTGGTGTTAGGAATTCAACACGCTGTTATGGCTTGCATCCATGTCTCTCCAAAGCCTCATGCACTCACAGAATGTAACTAGTTTTGGGGCAAATCCTCATGGGGTTAGTCCATCGATGGGTTTATAGCTGGGTGTGATGTTGGGGGTGAAGCCTGGTGGGAAGTGGGGGAGGGTCACACACCCCTCCTCCCACCCACCTAATTTTTGCTCTGCTACCTGCCTGACTTGCCATGAGCTGTTTCTCTGCTACCATGCCACCCCACCTTAGAACCAGCTGATTACAGACTGAGACCTCTACAAACTGGACACCAAGGTAAACCTCCCCACTAGCTTGTGGGTGCCAGGTATTTTGTCTCAACAATGAGAAAGCAACTAAGACATGTGCTAGGCAAGTAGTCTATTACTAAGCTTCATCCCAGGTCAATTCTTTTAATATGGTCCTTAAAGTATGACCCTCATCCTATTTTGACCAGTCATATGTGTCCTGGGTTAGACACCCAGTAGTACCAAAAATGACAGACAAAAGATAAAAGCAAAGTAAAAGAAAGTGCTGGTCTTCAAAAAAGTAGCACCTTGTCCCACAGAAGAGAAAACATGTTGAAAACTGAGACTGAATGAAATGCTACTTCTTTCTATGATAGACGAGTGCTGACTGGGACAGGACAGGCACCAAGCAAGACCAGGAGACAGAATATTTGTAGATAGAATATTTGTTCCCAGACTAGACTGGGAACCAAAAACTCACCGTAGCCCAACTGTGATAAGCAACACCAGAATGTGGAGGTCCATGAGGTACTGGTGAGCCTAGCAGTACTTAGAAATGCAGGCTCTGGACTCAGCTACCTAGAACTGCAAGGGCAAATCACATTTCCATCTCTGAAGGGCTGCAGGGGTGCTGATTTAGCCCCCTTGGGCTTGTGCTGTATTTATAAATACCTCAAAAGGTTGTGAGAATTAATTCATATAGTAAATGAATTAATATGTTAAGCCTTTTTTAAGAACTTACCTGACTTAAGACAAATCTGACTTGTGTTATTTTTAGTGTCACCTTTAGGCAGGCAGACTTGCAGTAAGTTTGAAAATGGTTGCTTGATGAGGTAACAAACAAAAGCAAAGTTTCACAGAAAAAAATTTACACATCCCATTTTATCTATAAGGAATATTTAAAAGGCTATAGGAGGGCTACAGCTGAAGGGTAGAATGCTTGCTGAACACATCAAAAGATTTTAGGTTCAAAGATAGGAAGACAGTAGGGGGAAACATGCAAGTATATATACAGGATGGCTGAGGTGGTTATACTAAGAATTGACATCAGTTTTTCTAAAATAGCAGTTAATCTGTAGAATTTCCTCCTTGACTAACTCTGTATGCTGATATCTGGGAACTGAGCAACTACATCAAGAATAGCAACGTGTAATACAAAAACCATGCTTGAATACCTGTCATCTTAGTCTTCTAAATGTGTACCGTTTCTAACATCATTATCAATTACTATATTTTCTTCAAAATAATTTTTTTAAAGGTAATAAAAGAAAAAAAAGCTACAAGAACAAAAATTTAAGATTTCTTGAAAGCAAGCAGTAACATTCAATCATGTCCAATGTTACAAAACTATATCTGTTAACTTGAGTGACAGATTTGACGATAAAAATAGGTAACATATCAACCATTGTTAATCAGCTATTCTTGCTTTGAAAATCTGTAACATATGTATTGTTGCATGTTACCCTCTTTCTGATTTTTGTTCTTTTGTTTTTACTCTTCAAAATAAAATTATTCAAAAAAATCTTAGGTTCAATCCCAGCATCATAAAAAGATGTTACAGGAGATATTATGGTTTTTATATTGCTAGACATGACATCTTTTAAATAGAAGCTAACACTTGATCAACATATGGTCTTTGCTGTACTCAATCAGGAGGAGAAAGGAGTAATAAACCTCTGCCTACTATTCTTATTAGCTGGCCATGCCAACACACAGCTGCCCTAGTGCTAACACGTCTGGTGCTCGACCCAGTGCCCTGTTCACCATGGTAGAGTTTAGAAGATGGAAACCCGGAACCTCAGTTCAACTATGAGCACATCCCAGGGGTACTCCAGGCCAGTCCTCTCCACATGAGCACATTTGGGAAGCACCATCTATGGAACTTTAAAAAAAACTGTATAACGTTAAGGAGGAGTTCTTAGTATTTTCAATTTTGCATGGAATTTTATTATAAATGGGTGTTGAACCATATTGACAGTCTTTTGAAAAAAGTCTAATAAAATTAGTTTTCCCTTTAATACACTAGTCAGAAAACTACACTCATCTATATTCTAATATTTTAACAATTTTGCTTTCTGGTAACATATCTGGTCATGATGCACTCCTTTAATCACTGAGATATGACCTGTTATTATCTTATTCAGGACTCTGACATCTATATTCATGAGTACAATTAGCCTTGGGCTTATATTAAAAACACCTGATTCAAGGGGCTGGAGAGATGGCTCAGCAGAATAAGCGCTTTCCTGGCAAGTACAAGGGCCTGAGTTCAATTCACAGTTCTGCCAAAAAAAACCCCACCTGATTCTATTTTCAAGGTTCTAGGGTCCTATATGACAAGTTGGGGAAATATACCTGCTTTTGCCATTCTCCTATAAATGGAACAAACACATTTCTTGGATATTTGCTATAATTAATCTATGAAGTTGTCTGAATTTGGTACTATCTTCGTATAGAAATTTCAGTTTCAGATCCCAAGGCACCTCAGGTTATTCTTTTTCTCCAATATTTTCAAGTCTTCTCCATTTCATTCTGCTAACTCCTTAAAGCGGCCCAATGAGCCTGGGTCAGGCCTTGCACCCTGTGCCTCTGCACCTCGCGCGCTTACCACCCCCATCACTCACTGCAGCCATGCTGGCTTTCTTGCTGCTCTTCAACCTTGCCCGGAAAGACTAACCCAGAGCCTGTCCCTGCTGCCCCCTTGCCTCCCTGGAACGTTCTTTGCCAAAGCTGCATGAGTCTCAGGCCTCTACTCAAACATCACGACGTCACAGAGCCCCACCTGAATTGCATTCTATATTGTGCCCTATTGCACTCATTATTGTCTGAAAAATGTTCGTTTCCTGTCTCCCCCAACCCAGAGCATGAGCTCCATAAACTGTTTCTCTTTTTATAGTGGTGGGGTTGGTCCAGGATTCTGTACTTGGTAAGCAGGACGTCTGCCAGTGAGTCCCATCCCCAGCCCAACTCTGGCACTGTTCCTTAGTGACAGAGCACAAAGTTGGCATACATGCATTCATGCATGTGTGTGTACAGACACACATGTACATGTGTGCACATAAGCGCGCGCACACACACACACACACACACACAGGCCTCACCCAAACAGGAATGGAGCCATCTATCCATGAGAACATCATATAGGAAAGTGGCTGCCAAAATGAAAGAGAATTGTGAAGGTCACTCATGCTCCTGAGAGAAACTTACCTCCACACTCTTCAGTGCTAGCACATTCTCTTCACTCCTCTGGGCCATTTCCACTTTGGGGGCCACACCACAGATGCCACAAATCATGTCATTGTAATCGCGGACAGTGAGGCACTCAAAAGCCCAATAGCCATTGCACAACAACTCCTGAAGCTGGCTCAGCTCCCCTGGAGTAAGAGTCTTCTCTGGAAGAATAGCAAGAACACTGAGAAGATCACAAGACAAGATGCTGAGGCATCACAGATGAGCCAGTAGCCAGCAGGAACAGCAATCCTACAAGACTTATCCTCCTCTAAAATTACCCATGAGTCCTAACTATCCACAGGGTGAAATAGCTCACCTGCGCGCATTCAGGGGCAATATAATGGAGTGATGGATGGCTCAAACTCAGTGTCTCTTAGGTACCAGATGCTACGCTGAAAGCTTTCAATGCACTTAATGATTTAATTCTTACATGAATGTAATTCTTCATTAACCAGGGGCTATTTACCCTCATTTCAAAATTAAGAGAAACAGGAATGAAATAACTTGCTGAAAAACCACACTGCCCTAAAAAAAAAAAAAAAACAAAAAAAAACACTGCCACTAAATGGCAAAGCCAAGTCTCAAAAAGGTCTGCAGCTACAGCACCTTGCTCTACTCCAATATAGCTGCCAGCAGGCAAAGCACAAGATCCTGGAGCCTGTAGGAACCATGGTAAAAAGAACAGGAGGACCAAGAATTTTGAGATAGTTGCTACCTCAGTCTCAGCATGAGCCTTGGGACTAACTGCAGACATCTGAGAGCTGTGCATTCAGAATGAGTCTGACCAATGCTGGGAGGGCAAGTCTATCTGACCAAAGGATATGCTTCTAAAAGCCAGTTGTGGCCTCTTGCTGAGGGTCCCTGGATACATGGACATCCATGCTTTCCAAAGTTAGTATGGCACTTATAACATTTAAAAAGAAATCAAGAAATGTGTCCTTTTCAAACTATTACACTTGCTGATCGCTTCTCAGCCTTTTGGCTAAGATCAAGTGCAGACTTGCTGAGCATGGTGGTGCACACTTGTAAGGAGGCTGAGCTAAGAGAAGTTTGAAGCTACCTTGGACTAAACAGTAAACTCAAGGTTATCCTAGACTATGTAATGACACTCTGTCTCAAGAAACAAACAAATAGACAAACAAAAAAGCAAAACATAATCAGGCTCTTCTCCAAAATGACTCTTTCCTTAACTCTGTCACTGAAACTGCTGCTTAAGAACAACCTTGGAAAAGGGAAAGCGTAGCCTTTACCTGTTTGCTCCTGCACTGACTTCAGCACAACACTGACGGATACCCTGGGGTCCTCCCCCAGCTTGATCTGGTTTCGGATTGCAAAAAGCAAGTCCAGGCTTACTAGCAGCTTGTTCCCCACATTAAAAAGACCTGCAGGTAAAAAAGAGGCAACAAGGAATTCACTGTAGCCCTTTATTCAATGGAAAAAAAGTAAGAAGCAAACTAAATGCCCACCAATAGAAGACGAGTTAAATTATAGTACATTCATAAAATAGAAAATACATTTTAAGAGAATAAAGGAAACCTAACTCTTCTGAAATGAAGTTGTCCACAATACATTGTAAAATTTAAAAATCTAGTATAGAAATATGTACTATACATTGTTTTATATTGGTTTTTCCCCCAATAAAAAAAGAAACATTTCCCTACCCCCTAGCTCAGTCCTCAGGACCAAAGATGGCACTCTTCCTCTACACCTCACACAACTGCACCATGGGGAAGGGTCAGGCGCATCCTTTAGCCCAGGGCTGTGTAGGGGACGTAACAAAGTCTATAAAATCACCCCTACATTAAATCCTGGAATAAGAGAACCAGAGGAATTTAAATGCAGCCAACTTATGACAAATAAAAGAGGGTGATTCCACATTTGTACAAAATATAACATGCAAATTTGTACAAAAGAAAATTTTAGAATATATGTTTGCAGTTGAGAAGGGAATAGAGGAATGGGGAAGACTTTCTAAGCATGATAGGCAAAGGCTGAAATCACAAGATGAAAGCTCTGGTTATACAAAAAAAAATTTTTTTTAAAAGGCCCAAACAATCCTAATATCCCCAAAAATCACCACATACAAATTTAAAAGACGGCTGGTTAACAGGGAGAAAGCTGTCCCAAAGAAGTCCAAAAGAAGAATGGAAATGTTCATGTAGGGAAACAAACAAAAAACTCCACAAAGGATCACTGAAGAAAAAAAATTCTTCCTAGTAACAGAAGAAATACAACAGATTAATAAATGAAACACTAGTTTTACCTTTCAAACTGATGAGCTTTAAAAAATACTGATCCATAAAAAGTTCCTAGTGCTGAGTTTTAGCAATGTAACACGATAGAGTCAACAGACAAAAGTAATCTATCTTATCTCTACACCAGTAATGAACAGTTGCAATCTGAACCCATATCCTTTAGCACTAAAGGAAACAAACAAACAAAAAAACACCTTGGTTTTAAATCTAGCAAAATACATGCAGGACTTACATGCCAAAACCTACAAAAACTGACCAAATTCTTAAAGATTAAAAATATTCAACAATGAAAACTCCAAGATGAAATTAAAAAACCTGTTGAAATAAAATAAAACCGAGGAAAAGATCCTGTTGTGCACTGAGAAACTCAGTATTACTAAGTGTGTCAAATTTCTCCAAACTGATCTCTACATACAACATGATCCCTATTAAAATTCTAGCAGAATTTTGTAGCTACTGACGAGCTGACTCTAATTGTATGAAAAAGAATGAATCTAACCTAAAACAAGGTTGCAAGACTCATTAAACACTGACTACAAAGCTACAATAATCAAGACAGTGTGGTTGCAAAGAATGAATACTAAGTTGATGGGAAACTATAGATAGTACCCAGAAATAGACTCATACATATAGTCAACTGATTTTCAATCAAGGAGCAAAGGTAGGTTAATGGAGAAAGGACTGTCTCTTCAACAAATGGCAATAACTGAACATTTACATTAAAAAACTGTGTTCACTCAGGACTTATGCTTTATGAAAAGTTAAAAGAATCACAGCAGGGAACTAGAAGGTAAACGTGTAGAGTTAGGGCAGGGATTAGAGGGAATAAAGGGAGAAGAGACTAATTAGGATGAAAATAAGCAATATATCATGTACTAATACATCAAAATGAATCTCAGTATTCTGTTCTTACTAATACGCAATAATAAAAATGGAAAATAGATCTAATATTATAAAACTCTGAGAGGGACTTATAACCAGAATACATAAAGAACTCTCAAAATTCAACAAAATTCAGTAAACCAAAGACGTGTATAGGTAGTTTATCAAAGACTTAAACACATCCATACGTCATTAGATACTAAAGAAATAAACTCCAAAGAGATATCACGATACATATAAAATGTAGCTAAATGGAACACACACCACTCAAAAGAATACAAAATGGGATAGCCTTTTTGGTAAAAGGTTGGCAGTTTCTCAGAAGTAAACATATATTACCATATAACCCAGCAATCTGAGTCAGGCATTTACACAAAAGCCTGTATACCAATGTTTGCAGCAGCTCTACTTGTAAGTAACAAAACTGGTAGCAACAGAAACACTTTTTAATGGGTGAACAGATAAACTGCAGTATATTCATACATACTTAAGAATAAAAAGGAACAAACCACCTGCACAATCTCTTAAGACTATGCCAAAAGAAGCCAGACTCAAAGGCTACAAACTATTGCAGCATTTACATAACATCTGGGAGATGAGAACACTACAGGAATAAAGAGATGAAAGGGCTGCCAAAGGGTAGGGGTCAGGATGTGGGTTGGGCTACAAAGAACAAGACAATGCTTTGAGGTGACAAACTCTCCTATTTAATGGCTAGGTGAAAGTTACACAGATCAGTGAGTATGTCAGAAGTCACAAAACTTTACAACAACAAAGCAAATTTTACCATATGTAAATTTTTAAACGCATTTTAATTTTAAAAACCGCATAATCTGAAATGCTTGCCTACACTCTTTTTAACTGTTGGAAAGAACGTAATATAAACTCAAACTTTTAAAATAAATTCAAAATAAGTCAATAAAAAGTTCTTAAATCAAAGCATAACAAATCCGGAGCACCCAATTCTACATATAAAAAATTCAGACTCACAAAAGTTGGTATGTGGTAAGCATTCAATAAATGTATGGGCAGCAAGAATAAATATGCTGCAATTCTACTTCTGAGAGTTTATCCAAAAGAAATAACTGAGGATCTGTAGACAGATTTAATTATACATAGGGTTATGAAATTGCAATATTACCTTTAAAAACGTTCATGTTTCTCTACTTGTAGGCTTAGGACAATGTCTATGATACACTACTAAATTTTAAAAATCATGTTATAAAATAGTGTACAAGACTTTTATAAGAAAATCTGCATACTTATAAAACTTTTCATATCTTATATTCCACATGAATGAATGAACACGTGGAGGATTAGAGAGCACAATGTTAAATGCTTCATCTCATGGCAGGGAGACTACTATTTTTCAGTTTTGTCTTTTTACTTGTCTGTATTTCCCAGCTTTTCACTGATAAAGAGCTATCGTTTTGTAACTGTGTTTTTAAAATGCTAGGAACGGGTCCTAAAGACCGAGGCCTTTAGGTATTCGACAGAAAGACTCTCCTCTTACTTAGAAGCCCTATGCAGAGAACATCTGGCGTGCGAAGCAGCACAGCTCTGACGCATGGAGGCAGTTCTCAAGCCTGCAAAGGCTGGGACCCACCTGTGTAGATGTCCATGAAACTGTGCAGGGCCAGACAATGGGGGTTCAGACACATCTTCACCTGAGCTGTCACCACCTGCAGCCGGTTGGCTGTCAGCAGCCAGCACTCCTGGGGCCCCGCCACGGAGCTGGTACCAGAAACATTGCCAACAAAAAACAGAAGGGAAGTCACTCTCTTTATGCAGGTCTTGGGCTGGATTAATCAGTGGCAAAATTCTCAAAACTTTAATGCAATAAGGAAAAATACATGGAATCTTAAGTTTTGTTTTTTTTTTTTTTAAGTGTTTCCACTTTGTGGAATCTAGTCAGCAAAATTGGCCCTACAATTAATATAACTCTCCCTGCCCCCAGGGCATACTAAAACAAGTGATTAAGACTAGGCATGGTGGTGCATGCCTATAATCCCAGTACATGGGAGGCTGAAAACAGGCGATCACTAGAGTCCTACCTGTGTAGTGAGACCTTGTACTAAAAAAAAAAATATATGATATATATATATATATATATATCTCAAATTTATTATTTAACCAATCCCACTGAACTCATAACCCCAAACATGACACTGGCCAGTGCAGATGTAATATAAATCCTAAGTTGTTGCTAATAACTTTTAGGCACTTTCAATAGAAATGATAATTACTAATTATTTTACTACTGGCAACTGAAAAGGTAAAAGAAGCTAATGGAAAGCAAATAACACCTTCGCAGGTTAGAGCTTCACAGGTACAGAGATGTGACATCAATCAAGTGGCTGGGGAGCTCAAAGCAGACATTGTAAAGGGGTAAACAGGTGCTTACTTGTGTCCCCCTTTGAATAATGGGCTGCTGCAGAGAAGGCACTGCGTGGATGGGGACTCATAATAATTTGACCAAGAGGTTTGCTCGATGGTGACTGTTTCCTCACTCACGTTGGACAGGATAAGTCGAGAGCTATTAAGTTCATGAATCAAGGTGAACACCTCGGCGAGTTCAGACTCATTCTCAGGAATCTGCAGGGCTTTGCGTAGCAGCTGCAGTGTGGACTGGCGCTGAATTTCCCTCTGGGCCACACTCAGGGGCTCTGTGGCACTCAGCCCATCTGGAAGTGGAGAACTCACTTCCTGCTAAGAGAAAGGGTCGATCAACAATCCCTGCGCACAGAACGAACCAGCCTTAGAGTAAAATGAAACTCTGCAAGTAGCAGCAGCCCATGACCAAAAGGCAGGAAGCCTGGATTCTTGGCCGGCTTGCTACATTCTAATAACCTCCTGTGTCACTAGCTCCAGGGCTTCTCTCTGGGGCTCAAGTTTTTCTATCAGCAAAATGAGGATACACACGCCTCATCGGAATGGCCACCACCGGTTAGCTCTTATTCATTAGTAGGATAACGGACCTGGGTTTCAGTTCTGAAGATCCCACCGTAGGGCTGTACATGCGCGTGCTGTAGCAATTTACCTGATCTGAGCTCAATTTCCTCTTACACGAAGATAAAAGCACCACTCATCGCCTAGAGCTACTGCATGCAATAAATGAGGCCCTGAAAGCAGAGCACAGAGTGTACAGTGCCTGTGATGCAAAGGAGACTACAAACGGAAGCTTCTGCGCACTAACAAGTATTATTTAAATTGTCATTAATCCTTACGGCTTCTAGGTACAAGGTATTTTACATACTAGTCACAGACTTCCAAGAACACGGTTGTGAATTACTCATTAAAAACAGGTCCTCAGGTGGATTTTTTTTTTTTTTTTTTTTTTAGTGGAGATTCCTTCTGATTCTTTTTTGCCAATGTAGCATGAATGGCTGCCTCCTTTTATACCTCAAGTGCATCCCTTTATGCAAGAATCCCCATTTCAGTTGCTAAGCCACCATCTTTCCTCTTCAAAGAGGACAGGGTCCCTTGCTTACTTTTTCATTCCCTAAACCACCATGACGCCAGAGTTACAAAAGATGCTATTGTTTTGTTGGATATGTCATATACTTCTTTGCAGAAACTAATTCTTAACAAAGAGTTTTCAAAATTAACTTTGTATACCTATGATAACTTCTGTCTCACTGCCTATAATAACTGGATTATCTTTTTCCTCCAACTTAACTATAAGCTCCTCAAAGGAAAAGGCCGTGTCCTAATTCATCTCTGAGGGCCTTGCCCACAGGAGCCATTCAATATATGGAATAAAAGGATTAATGAATTCAGAAGGCTTGGTGGATACTAGAATAAGCTGCTCTGGGAGCTGTATGTCCCCATGCATGACTATAGTGAACCATGAGCTTGAAGACCATTTGGAGGGAATACTGTCCTCCACTGCCAAGTCAGAGATAAAGGACAGCAAAGACTGAATACCATCCTAGACTCAAGACACTGTGGTCTTAATTACAGCAAATGAAGATAAATAGGATAGGAAATGCAGAGCCCCCAGGTGGCTCCAGAGGGCAACATACACAAAGGCCCTTGTTTCTGACAGAAGTTTTATATTTTGGAAAATAACTGCACTTTATTCCTCCAAACTTTCAAGAGATTGAAGGGTGAAGGCGAGTCTGAAGGCAAGGAAAGGTCTAAAGATGAGGGTTTTATGGGTAGGCAGCTATAAGTTAACCAAAGACAGATGGATATAAGAGTGGAATTTAAAACTCAACTAGCAAAAGGTCTTATTTGACCTGATATGAGAAGTCTACCACCTTAGGCCTAGACAGCAATATCTATCTCCATACTGTAAACTATAAAAATTGCCAAAATGAAATGGGAAGAGAAAGGAATGCTCAGAGAATCTACCTACACAGAATTCAACTCTATTCTCTAATTACAGCTCTACACACATAGGTGAGTCCAACTTAAAAAGTGCTGAAAACAAATATACCTGCCAGGAAAGATTATGGTCCCCTAAAGAGTTAAGAGAAGCACCCAAAAAAGTGATTAATGCTACAGAAAACACATAAAATGCATAGATAATCCAGGAGAAAGCTCAATTCCAGCAGAAGGGATCCTATGGAGCAAGAGAAAATGATGAAAGCTATGGACCCATTCTGCATGCAACTTTAGGGGTTTACAGATTCCCTGTACCTTAATTCTAAGTCTTCTCCAACAGCTCCTGATTCTGAGTAAAATGCCCTCTAATCCAGCTCCCTAATGGGGAATCTAAAGCTCAGCAATGAAGACTTTCAGGGTTACTCCCATCCAGCTCTCTACATTTTTAGTCCCAGTGCTTTTTCTACTATGCCACTGGTACCCAAATACTTTACTTCCAGCTTTGTTTCTCTCAAGTACAATGACCTGAGAATACCATCTCAAGCACTGAAACAGTCCTGGAGACCAGGTACTAAGATTCACCACCATACAGGTACTTTGCCATGCACAAAGAACTGCTTTAGGCCAGAAGTAGTCCCACCTATTGGTACATACTTCTGTCTATTCCCAAACTCCTCTATGTAAGTCTCCCTTCTCAAGTTTCTCACTGTATGCTCCTCTCTGGCTTATGGACATCCAACGGAACCCCAATGCCTAAAGAGCAAACTTCTCGGTATAACACTCATGGCCTTCCATGATGTGGTCCTAACAAGCTCTTCAGCTCTTACTGTCCTTACCCAGAGCCCACCCTATGACCCTCAGACTCACTTCCCCTTCTATCCAAATTCTGTCCCTCTTTCAAAGACCAGGTTAGACCTAGAGCAGCAAGATTCTTGGCCCTTTGGACACTGACCTGTTTGTTGCATGTCCTTCCCTCTACACTATCCTCTACTACAGCAGATTAATGATAGGATTTTATTTGGTTGTCCTTATCCCCATTCTATCACTTCAAGCACTATCACTTTCTATTCACTTCTAAAAACACATTAGTGATTGAACTCTTGGTTCTTAGACATCAAGAACATGGTTACTATGGTATGAATGAGTCCCTCAAATTTCATGCATTAGAAACTTAATTCCCAAAGTAACTTTTTTCTTTTTTGGGGGGGGAGGGTGTAACTGGGAATTGAACTCAAGACCTTGCACTTGTCAGGCAAGCACTGTGCCGCTCAGCTATAGCCCCAGCTCCCAAAATAACTTACTAATGGAATTTGAGGTGGGACTTCTGAGAGGTGATGGAGTCACAAGAACTCTGCCTTCATGAACGGATTAAATTAAAGAATTACTGTAGGAGTGGCTTTGTTTCAAAAGTGAGCACTCTCTGGCTCCTTATTCTGAGCAGCTGATTACCCAATCTCAGATATTTTGTTATTGTAACAGAAAATATACTAAGACACTGGTGGATCCCTTTACCTTGGCAATGGGTTCTCAGTACTTGCTCAGGTTCAGAACTTACAACCTGGTTCCAGTCCTTATGTTCAGGCTACTAATTATGTATCAAGAAATCCTTTCATTTCTACTAAAACAGGCTGATCAATAGTGCACAACCCTAGGCCAAGGGATGTGTTAGGGGAACTCACAATAGCCTTGGTGGTTTTCTCAGTCCGGTCTTTGGCAAGGTTAAATCCACAGCTGGGACAAACCCGAGGTTTGTGCCGGTTGGTGTAGACATAGCTACAAGAGGGATTCTTGCACTTTCCCCTGCCTCTTGATGTAGCCAATCCTAAATCCTAAAACAGTAAGATCAAAAAAAAAAAAAAAAAAAAAAAGCTCAGTGTTCAATTCTATAGAAGTTAGGTCAAATATGTTGTCAGTAAATCAGACAAGAAAGTGGCAAATACTGCACAAACTAGATTTAACCTAGCTTCTAAAAAGTCTTGAAGTAAGATCCCTTTTCTGTAATGAATTTTAATTTTAATGCAGGTTATATAATCTGTGAAGTAAGTAAGATGATACTCAAGGGTCAGAAATTCAAATGCTGGGGCCAAGGAGATGGCTCAGTAGGATAAGTGCTTGAATGGCAAACGCAAGGATTTGAGTTCAATCCCCAGTTCCGCCAAAAAAAAAAAAAAAAAAGAAATTCAAATGCCAAAGAGCCAGCCAGATTGCTCAGCTGATTAAAGTGCCTGCTTGGGCAGATATAGGGGCTGGCCATGCTGGCCCCGCCCCCAGGACAGATGGTGATTGAGACTAGGTGTGGTGGCACCTATAATCCCAGCACTCAGGAGGCTGTAAACAGGAGGATCACTAGGAGTCCAATCTATGCAGTGAGACCCTGAAGATCCTGTACTTTATATATATTCAAATGCCTTCAAGGTCCAAGCTATTAGCAGAACAAAGTAATCTTCTTAAAAGAGGAATGCTAGACTGTGGCAAACTAAAGATTTCTAAAGATTTCAGCTCTAGAGAATGGCAGATGTTGCCTCACTGGCAGAGTACTTCATTGGCACACAGGAGGCCCTCCCTGAGCTCCACCCCAGCACCAGAGGGTGGGGGAGACTTCAAACTCTACTGAAAGGCAAACTGTGACTTCTGGACTTATAGAGCTCAAAGCCTTAACACCTAAGTTCCCACCTGGTGAGCCCAGCAGCCTCCTGTGGCCAAAAACAGAGAAAGTATGCAGGACATGGAGAAGGAGGTAACTAACTCATTAGTTCTCCATGAGAAGAGATATATTCTCTATAGGGATCAGGCCAGATTGTTTTGTTTGTTTGGTTTTTTTTGACACAGGGTCCTGCTATGCAGTTCAGACCAGCCTTGTACTCACTTTTTTGTAGCCCCCAGGCTAGTCTCAAACTCACAGCAATCCTCCTGTCTCAATCTCCTGAGTACTGGGATTACAGGTTTATCCTACCACACCCAGTTCAGATTGGGCATCAGTAACCCCAGATTGAGTATCATTACCTCAACAAATTGCTGTCTGGATCATTTTCTCTCTCTCCGTATCTTTCATCTACCTTTGTATCCATACATGAAAATATACACACTTGTATATATATTTATATGTACATTTCTGTACATTATTTTATTTACTTATTCCTTCTTTGTGTTACCCAAGCTTGTCTTGAACTCATGAGCTGAAACAATCCTCCTGTCTCAGCCTCCTAAGTAGCGAGAACTACAGAAAGTGCTATGGTACCTTTCTAATAAATATTTTTTTGAATAATGAAAGACCCTTTACAAAAAAAGTCACTATCAGGTGAGAATTTTAAAAATGTAGCCCTTTTTACAAAATCTGCATATCTCCCTGAAATCAGAAAAAGTACCAAAATGTATCTTGGCTGGTTACCTTATGGATCAACAGAACTAGAGAATAAGAATAGCAACAGACACCTCAAAAATCACTAAACCAATGCAGCATTTTCTAGATGATAAAACTGAGTACCAGGGAAGGAAAGTCTTGTCTTAGGTCAGACGGCTGGTACAGTAGCAGCAGAGCCAGAACTACAATTGGAGCAACTCTCTAGTGTTTATTCCACTGCTCTATGCTGTTTATGTTATAAAACGATGACTTCACAGTCACATATTCATTTATTAGGATGTTAATATGCGTTACATTAAAAGTAAAAGAAGGAAAAGGAAAAACTCTTACTGGAAGTAATGGGCCAGTGATGGCAACCCAGCACTAGCTACACACTTACCTTTTAAAGCTTTCAGTAACAAAAACAACCTGTTGCAACTCATGTGTCATAGGTTCACCACCACGGTCGTAGGCTAAACAAAAATCCCTAAAGAGAGTATGTCTCTTCTCACGAAGAACTAATGCTTTACTTTACTAATGCCGTTCTCAAACATACTAGTTTCAAATGTGTCTGTTTTAGGGAGGAAAACTTGCTGAAACTCTGTTTATACTTTTTCATGGAGCACATTTTCTAGGCTAAGAGGTTCAAAGACAACTGAATATACACCTGGATTCTCTTTTTGTATTTAGTACAGGGTCTCACTATGTAGGTCGGACTCATAAGTCATTCTCCTGATTTCAGCCTCCCAAGTGCTGGGATTACAGGCATGTACCACCACTCTGAGTCTCAATCACCATCTCAGCATGCCCCGGGGGCGGGGCTGGCATGACAGGCCCAGGAATGGGGGGGTGCTGCATCCACCTAAGCAGGCGCTTTAATCAACTGAGCTATTTGGCTAGCACTCTAAACCTGGATTCTCATTTCTGACTATTCTGAATAAAAATACACTGATCTCAGCTACCCTGGGCTGCATAGGGATTTTTTTTGGTGAAAAAAAAAAAATCCCAAAATAACCTAGCAGATTCATCCAGTAGCTATTATTTGTACAGGTTTGGGAGCTTCAGCATCAGTGATTATAAGTGACCCTGCTCTCACTCTCAGTACTGCCAACCTGTCCACCAACCTCAACCACAAAAGCGAAGCAGCCTCCAGGTCAACCCTGGGGGGCTAGCTACACACTTACCAGGGTGACAGTGCAGCTGTACTTATATGGAGGAAACATATCAGGCTTGACCTCTACAACCTTCACTTGAGATGTCCTGTTGCTTGGGCCACTTGGTAGCTGCAGATCAAAACAAGTTATTTAGTGCTGTTTTTAAAGCCTCAGCCTAACTTCTGAGGTCTTGTTCATAAAACAACTTGAGGAAATGTCCTAGGGAATTTGTAGGCTGTACTCTTTGAGCCCTCTGCACTACCAACTGACTGTCACCAGCCCACTGAAGAACACTGTCCAAGTCTAGGGATTGCTACTTGTCTATAGCTTCTGAAACTGAATTAGAAACACCACAAATCAAACTCACAAGTACAATCAGGTGATAAAGTAATCTAAGTGATATGCAAGTATACATATAGTTAAACAATTTTAGCACAGAAGTCATCTAAAAACTATTCCCAGGTATCACTGAGCATGCTAGAGGAAGACCATTGTATTTCTCTCTTTACCACTATCAATAATATTGTTCAGTGTTCTTTAGGAAATGCATATATTACTTATAAAAAGAATAAAAAGATAAAGAAGACATACTAAATTAAAATTATCCTGTAACACTGAATTTACGTTAATTTTCAGAAAGATCTCACATATTTGTTAACTGATTCAAGAATAGTGTAAGACATGGTGGCTTTTAACAAAGCCAAGGGTGTTGAGCAAAGGAAAACCATAGAAAAAAATGAGGTTCACCTAAGTGACAGAATATATGAAGGGATTCTACTGGAGCTGAGAGTTAACCAGGTACCTTCCTATATACCATAAGATTATGCACATACACCCAGAGTTGCTACTACCATGAGGGTAGCAGACAAACAGTCCTTCAAGTAAAAGCCCGCTGATATTCTTGCCAGGCAAAGTTTAGAAGCATTCAAAAACAGATACCTGATAATGAGCACATGGTATAGGAAATGGAAGACTGATTCTCCTATTCCAGTCTGGTCTGTGACAGTTTAAACTATAGGCTGAAGAGGCATGAAATTAAAGAGTTGAAAGCAGTATTTTGTAAAGAGAAATGGGACATACCAAGTGACTACATAAAAAGAGAAGAGCTTTTTTTTTTTTTTTGTGGAACTGGAGATTGAACCCAAAGGTCTCACATAGCACTGAACTACAGCTCTAGGTCTTTTAAGTTTTTATTTTGATACAGGGCATTGCTAAATTTCCTAGGCTGGGCGGAAACTTGTGATCCCCCTACCTCAGTCTCCTGAGTGGCTGTGACTATAGCCACTATGCCTAATTTCTACATTTTTAACATGTACACTTACTGGCTGTGATATAAAAATGTTTTTGTTACTGGGCTGGTTAATGCAGCTCAGTGATAGAGTACTGTCTAGCATGCACAAGGCCCTACACTCTATCCTCAGCACCACAAAAACAAGACATATACACAGAAGAAAACATGTTTGTTATCTTCAGGTCATGGTAACATTTGAAAAATGGTGATTTATTAATGAATAGAGGGATTTGTTCTAATGGTGTTTGTAAATTAGGATATCATGTCTGCATCTTGCACAGCAATTAACCACTAGGAAGAATGTATGCAATGTGCTAATTATTGAAACTGTCCTACCAATTTGGTTTGAAACTGTCTCACTGCTATTTGTTTCTCAATAAAATTATGGGAAAAAATAAATAAATAAATGAATAAAAAGAAAAGAAAAAAACATAAAATAATAATAAATGTTAGCAATGGCTGGGAGAATGAAATCAATAGATGGGTAGAGAAGGGAGGGAAAGAAAAAAAGAGATAAAAAATAAATTAGCATGCGCTCTGTATATGTCCCAACTTTTCACAAAAATGTGAGCATTATTTGTAACACACATGTACTAATAAAATAAAAATTTAAAAATTAAAAAAAAAGAAAAGTGGTGATTTAGAGAATTTGGTAATAATTATTCTGGCCACACGTAAGGATAAATGTATTTGGGGCTGGCCAGATATTTCAGAGGATTAAAGCGCCTGCTTAGGCAGACACAGGGGCCGGGGGTTCTATTCCCGGCCTGCTATGCTGGCCCCACCCCCGGGGCGCACTAAGATGGCAGAATGAGACTGGGTGTGGTGGCGAGTGCCTGTAATCCCAGTGCTTGGGAGGCTGAAAAACAGGAAGGATCACTACGGAGGCCGATCTGTGTAGTGAGACCCTGTAGACCCTGCACTAAATGCATTAAAAAAAAAAAAAAAAAAGAATAAACATATTTGAACACACAAATGTGAGATAACATAGAGATTACATAGAGACTGTTTCAAAACACACACACACACACACACACACACACACAACAGGAAAGACCTCAAAGTTAAATAAGAACACATTAGATTGTTAATAAATTAACACATGAATATTCTGTATTTTCTACAATACCCATGCATTCATTTTTAAAAGCAGGCTGAAAAGACATGACAACTAAATCCAGTATTTGATCCAAGGCTGGATCCTACAGTGGAGAGCAAAATTGCTACATAAAGGATACAAGTGAATAAAACTGACAGAACTGGAATATAAATACACAAAACAGTGAAAAGACTTCTCAGTAAAATACCTCACTTCTTAAGAAATACAAAAGGAAGCATTATGGAGTAAAAGTCCATGTAACTTACCCTCAAATTATGTATATTTAAAGCACACATGCGCATGTACATACACATAAAAGGGCAGTAGGAACAAAAATGATAATGTAAAATGAGCTGATTTCTTAACAGGTGACTTAGAATAAAGTGTATATGGGTGTTCTTTGTAGTGCTTTTATGGAATCTTTTCATTCTAAATTATACATTATTTCTAAATGAAAGATTTGAAAACATGTTGCATTCAGTTTATAACAAGAAATTACAATAAAGAAATCGTTCTGCTTACTTCCTTACAGAGGTTTACCATTGTAAATTTTGGAGTCTGAGGTCTACTTTTTATACTCTTAGGGGATTGTTTAGGGGGAGCGGTCAGATACCCACACAGCCTCTGTTCTGGGGAACGGGTCTTACCTTCACCTCACTGGTGCTAGGAGGCTGCTGTACAGGCTGACCCAGCTGCTTCAGTGTGCTTGGCTTCAGGCCACAAGTCCTGACAGAGGAGGTCTTATCTGAAAGAACCAGGGACAAACTGATGACTTCTGTGCATTTAGTCTCCCCAGGTTTCTCACCTCCACTCGCCACTCACTCCTTCCCACCACAGAACCCTCCTCCCAGTTCTATTTCAGCCCTTACCACTCAAGGAAAAGGTCTGCCTGGCCCTGGGCAGGCCCAGGCTGCTGCCTCGCCCCACGTTAGCTGGGGCAGGCAGAATCGCTCTCATGGGTCTTGCTGCAGCCAGTAATGAGGGTTTGCCCCGTGCTCTGCCTTTAAGCTCTGGGGTCCTGGGCCCAGTGTTGAGTAGGTCTCTGGAGGGAAGAAAAAATTTAAATCAAAAACAAAAAGAACATCTGCAAATTCTAATCCAAAGAATAGAAAGCATAATCTCCATGTAGCACTTTTTTTTGGTGCTAGGAATTAAACTCAGGGTGCTGCGCTTGTTAGGCAGGCTCTGTGCCACTGGGCTATATTCCTAGCTCCAAATAGCACTTTACTAAGTGATTAAAATATTAGGCTTTACAAAGAGTTTTAGCTGTGCGCACTGGTGTGTGCCTGTAATGCCGCCACAGCAGGAAGATTATGCAGGAGGATTTTAAGCTCGAGGTTAGCATGGAACAACTTAGATGTCTTAAAAACAACTGGGAATGTAGCTCAATGGAAGAAGGTCTCTGGGTTTCACCCCTGCAGCTCAGAAAAACAAAACAAAACAAAACAAAAAGAGTTCACTTCAACCACTGTGCCCTGGATAAGCAATTTTATTCTTCCATTAATCTCAAATTTCTAATGTGTAAAATTGGACAGTAATTACTTACACTTCAAGGGACAAAAGACACAAAAGTATAATGTGGGGCTGGACAACTTGCTGCTGAGGCTATCCAGTGTTGGGAGAGTGTTTATTATTCCTCTAGATGCTAGCAACAGGTCCCTCCCCCGCTGTGACAACCAAAAATGCCTCTAAACAGTGCTATCATGTCCCCTGGGAGTAAAGCTGTTCCCAGGTGAGAACCGTAATATAAACAAAACCTTCAGTTATACCAACTAACAGCACCACAAAGGGCTGCATGTTGAATCCAGTTAAGCCTTTAGTAATGAAAGAAAAGGTGAGAAAAAGCCCAAATTTAGTGACTGTCCTATTTGGAAGGTGCTGGTTTCCCAAATATTTATAATTTACACATACTTGTTTTCAATCAGCACAGTTAGCCTATGAAGATAAGGATTTTTCAATATCCAACTCAGGGGTTTTCAGAAGAAAGAACTTAAAGCCCAGTAGCATGAAGTGACTATGCCCAAGGTTAAACAGAAGCCTCTAGTTAAGACTAGAAATGATTCTCTGTCAGGAAGGACTCCATCTAGTACCTTAACAAGGATTCTCTTTCTAAACCCCATATCCAGTACTTCTAACTCATAGGTCATTACACTGCCCACAGCCTATACCAACAAAATTCTAACAACTGCTTTGGGAGTTGGATAAGAAAAGCTACACAAGGAATCTAACAGCAGTGTGTGGACAGCACAATATAGAGAGAAAGGCCAATCAGTACAAGTCCCTAGGCCTTGATTTTTGTACCTCTGTAAGAGGAGCCATTAACTGAGCTCTGCTACTTGTGAATCCTGCAATAACAAAGACAAAGCAAACACCAGACACTCCAAAGCTGCTATTCTAAATCCATTCCTAATAATATACAATCACACTGATTTACCCTGTAGGCTTTTTAGAAACCACGACTTGGGTGGAGGTGCTGGTCCCCTCAGCCGGCAATGGTGGGATTTCTAGTCCAGAACTCTCGTTCTCATTTGTCGCCAGAGTGACTTCAGGCTTGATGACTGGCGTCTTAGCCACTGTTGCACCACAGATCTCAGGCGTTTCCTTAACCAAAATATGGGCATCGGAGATGATCACTTCCTCCCATTCATTCTCCTCACCTACTTCTCTTGGAGGAACTACATTTAAGAGCTGGCTTACAGCTTCTGAATTCTCCAGAGTTAGTCTGCAGGCATTTTCCTTAGAGGAACTTTGCTCAGGCAGCTGATTTTTTTTAATCACAGACCCCTTAGAGGAGACACCTGAGGCCAATTCCACTTTGACTCTGGCTGGTTTTTCCTAGAAAAAATAAGAATACTTTGTATGCACAAGACATTTTACATTGAAAACATTCACAAATATTTTTATTTGATCCTCTTAATAAAAATGTATGGGCGACACAGAGGAAACTAAACCCAAGAAAAAAAGGCTATCTTTTTTTTTTTTTTTTTAATTTTAATTTATGTGTGTGTGTGTGTGTGTGTGTGTGTGTGTGTGTGTGTGTGGCCAGCTCAGCCCACCAGGGGGCAGGGCTGGCTGGCATGTGGTGCTGGGGGATTGAACCGCGGTCCCTCCACTTTGCTAAGCTTGTTCTAAGTAGGTGCTCTAGACCACTGAGCCATCTCACCAGCCCCCCCGAAAAAAAAGGCTATCTTAATGTCCCAATTATAGAACTGGTATTAATCTAAGTCTTCTGATTCCAGGGTCTTCTCTAGAGAACTTTCTTATTCACATGTCTTTTTACCAAGCAAATTATGTCATTTTTCAGTCTGATTTTTGATTGTCCCGAGGCCAATTCCGTGTGTCTGGAAAGAGGCTGCCACACTGCCACACTGGGCCTCAAGGCTGGTTACCTTGGTGGCGCCTTCCTAATGTTCAGTCATTTCCAGTGCAGTCTCCACTTCACCCCAGCTTTCCACATGCTGCAGGAACACCTTATCTTTCAGTAAATCTTCTATTTTGTTTGTTTTGCAGTGCTAGGAATCAAACCCAGGGCCTCTTTATGCCAGGTAAGTGCTCTCTGAGACACCACTCTAGTCCCTCAGCATCTTTAAAATGACTTTATGACTATGCCACATACTTCACGGGATCAAGCTAACTCATACATACTAATTATGCGCTAGAAAATATGCAAGTTTGTCAAAAACTGCATCTGCTATCTCAGACCTACTTTTTTTTTTCTTTTCTTTTCTTTTTTCCCAGACCTATTTTTAAAGTTCTGAATCTTAGCTTTATCCAGTGAGCACCACCACTATGGAAAAAACAGCATCACACACAAATGTATACTTATTATTATTATTTTTTAAATCAGTGGCTTTCTCTGGGATAGGTTTCAGAAAGTTTTCTTCCCCATCTGCATCATGAAAGTGTCTCCATAAACTAGGAGACATGAAACATAAAAGCTGGGGTCTATCTATACTCAACTTCATTCTTAATTAGTTACATGGTGTAAGGCAATATTCATAAATCCTCATTTTCTACCATAAAATGCCAGAGGCTTAGGCTCTCAATGTTTGTCAAAAAAAAAAAAAAAAAAAAAAGCAAGATAGCATTCTGGGTATCCAAGCTCTTACTGTGCAGGAGCATAAATTCAAAACTATGGTCCTGTTACAGACCCACATTTCCAAAACCACCTGGACAGTGTACTTCTCCTGGCTAAGGACCACTAGTAGATGATCTTTGAGAACTCTCCAGTAAGACATTCTCAGAGCCTAACCTATGGTAGCCCCTAAAGATGAGTAAACATGGAAAAAATTTCCAACTAAATTTCACAGAAGCTTATTTACTGCAGGACAGAGAAAAGTCAGCAAAGAAACAGTAGACTAGAGTTGCATCTTGAGATGCAATCTTTGAGCAAAACACTGCCTACTAAGTAGGCTATTTCAGACAAGAATTCTTTGCAGAAAGAATGATGTAAGACATTTGAGCAAAAACACTACCTGGTGATCTCAGCATTCCCGTATCTCACCGGATCCTCCATACTCTTGGTGCTAGGGATGAACCAGGGTAAGTACCCATCACTGAGCCACAGCCCCTGCCTTCACACCCTTTGTCTGGGTAGATGGTGCTTGGGATTGAACCCAGGGCATCTGCACTGAGCTATATCCCCATTGATTTTTAAATTTTTAAACAGGGTCTCACTGAGTTTCTGAATCACCCCTAATGAGAACTCATGGTCCTTCTATCACAGTCTCCCCGAGTGATGAGATTATAGTTGTGTGCCACCAGTGCCAGCCCCACCTATAGTTTCAGATGTTGCTTTCTTTCAAGATGAAGGCAAATACAAAAGCTGCCCATTCACAGACCGCAATATCTGCCATCAGAGCCCATAAGAATGGAGCCCTGAGCTAACTTTGTATGTTCTTTTGTCCCTTCCAATTCACTAGGAACTATGCCACACATTTGGGCTAACTTTAGCTAGTCTGAACTCTGTGACAATATAATAGATGAGTCACTTCCTGATGACATAGGCACTTTTGGAGCTTGTACAAATGATTTGCATTTGAGGCTTAAAAATCAGAACTAGGAAATTTAAGATTCTGCAGTTAATAGCACAGCAATCCCTGAAAAAAAGGATTAATGGAAAAGGCGCTGGCAGTTGCCAGCATGAAGTTAACAGGTCATTTCCCTTTAGTCCATCTTTCTCCTCTGCTAGAAACCTTAAGAGATGAATTAACTGATCACCAGTCTCTTTTATCCCTAAAATGCACAAGTGCACAGATGCTGAAATGTTACTATTTTCTTCCCACACTCATTTGACTGCTGGGGGAAGGTGGAGAATCTAACTGAGCAAGTCAAGAAAGGAGTAGGTAGCTAAGGAAAAAAACTTTTCATGTCATGAGCTCAATTGCAGTAAGAGAATCATGACTGGAAAACCAGTTCAACGAAACAAAATACACATACACAGGCATGCCCATGTGAGAAGTGCAAGAGTACAAAGTAAAAAGAGACCCAAAAGAAAAAAGCCCATCTCACCTCCCTGAAAAGCAAAGGACACAAAGTCCTTTCACAGAGGTGTTTCTGCACTGGTGAAGAAAGCCCAAGAAGGACTCTGAGTGCCAGCCAACTTAATAACCCTACACAGCTGGCAAAACACCTTTAAGGAACAGAGTGGAAATAAACTGATGGCTTCAAAGGCACACTTGAGAAAAAGGGCTCAAGAACTCAGAGGAACCTCCTGAGACACTAGTACTAGGTCCTACCTAACCCCAGAGACAACATGAATAGCAGTAACAGGGATACAATTACACTAATGTTAGATACAGTGATGACAGGGTACCTTTTACTGAGGATTTAACATGTATAAGAAACTGTTCCAACCACTCTACATGGATGATTTCATTCAACCCTCCAATGACCCTAATAAGACAAGTGTTATGAACTTCATGTACAGGTAAGAAGAAACCTAAATCAAGAAAAAAGTAAGAGATAAGTTGTCCAAGGTCATACAGGTAAACACATGAGAACCAAGTTTGAAATGAAGCACTGACCCCAGCACTGTACTAATTAATGCTACCGTTTGTATCTCAGGTGTCCCCTAAGGGTCTGTGTAGAAACAGCTCGCCCTCCAAACTAGTGCTATTAGGAGACTGTGGTGCCTTCAAGTGGAGCAAAATGCAAAGTTTTAGTATACTGGAAATGTACTCTAACAGAATTACGGAACCTCACTCCTCTCCCCTTTCATGTCCTAGTCAGGTGTCACTACACACTCTCACCATGATGTGCCCTGTCAAGGCAGCAAAATAATTTGGTCAACTGACCAGACTATAACACTGGGACAAAATACCTGACACCCACAACTTCAAGGAGGACAAGTTTATTCCGGCTGATAGCTCCAGTAGGTTAGTCCATGGCTCCATGGCAGACAAGTATGAGGGAAGGGCATCATGAAGAGAAGCTGCTCAACCCATAATCTCCAGAAGCAGGGAAGAGCGGAGGCCACGAATATATCTTTCCAAGTCACACTCCCAGTGACCTGCCTCTTCTGACCAGGCCTCAGTTTTGAACACCCAACACTTTTTCTGCTGTCTTTAAATACATTTTATTAAACATATTTGAGTGTGTTTTCCGTCTTTTAAAAATAAAAAAAAAAATCTGGCCATCGAGATAGCTCAGTGGACTAAGTGCCTACTTAGGCAAGTACAGGGACCAAAATTCAATCCCCAGCACCATCTGCCAAGCCAGCCCCCACCCTGCTGCATGCTGACCCAGCCCCTAGTCTGGGCATGGTGGCACATGCATGTAATCCCAGCACTGGGGAGGCTGAAAACAGCAGGATCACTATGAGTCCCAGCTACGTATGTACTGAGACCCTATACCAAATACATTTAAAAAAATAAACTTAAAAATGGTTCAATAACAAAATACTGAAGTCATTTTCCTTTATGTGAAGAAATATGAAATAAGTATTAATATTTAAAAGCAAAGTATTCTCTAACAAAACTTTAAATATTTCAAGAGCATAACAAATTCTAAACACACTAAGATTATGTAGCTCTTTCAATATTCTTGGGAATGCTGAGCGATTAACTTGCTATGGCTTAGGATCCATTTCTTATGCTTGTTTCTTGCACTTCTTCTACTTTCCAGAGCTCTTCATTGTTTCCCAGTGTTTGCTGAAGTTCATGGGTGGTGCTAAGAAGAACACGAAACTTTCTGTCACAACTCCAGCTTGTCGTCCATGCTTTCTTTAACATTTGAAAGATGCTCAAATCTTTCCCCAGAGCCTCTGTATCCTTTAAGGTCTCATTCCTGTTGGATGATGCTGCATCACCTTTATCAAAGCATCACATTCTTGGTAATGTTTTCATATTTGTTTTGCTTAAAGAATTTGTTTTTCTCACTAAGCAAGTTTTTCATGTATTCCTGTAATGCTCTATTTCTTTATAAATTTTTTCATAGTTTTCCATTTCCCTGAGATTCATATCATACACACCAGTAAAGTTTTACCCACCAAAATCTCACATTAGGACAGCTTACATTGGTCTTGGCCATATCCCTCTTCTTGGGATCCAGAGGTGCACCACTTAAAGAAACTTTTCACTAGCAGACTAATTGGGCAATCATCTCCAGCACCATCTCCATCAATCAGGAGACATTTCTTTAGTTTCTTTCTTTCTTTTTTTTCTTTAGTTTCTTTATGACTTCAGCATCAGTCATGACTCCTACAGAGCTGTGAGCCCAGGCAGCAGCTGATAGCACCCAAGTCAAACTCCCACAATGCAGCTGGGTACACAGCCTTGAAGGCAGTTGTGCACCAGGCCACCCCCACCCCTACCACTACCCCTCTTCTCCTGTGCACTTGGGGTCCCATGGCTGGCTCCTAAAGGGAGGCCAGGTGGCCAAACACCTGACACTTTTCAGGGATATTTTATATCTACGTCATGGACTGACTATATATTTTGGCTAAATTCTTAGCCAAAGTAATCCTTGCCCCTGTATAAATTGGTATCTCAGAGGATCATGCTGAGTTAAACACATGACAACCAGCCACAATCCTACCCAAGCCAATTTTATAGACTTAGGCCAGAGGTGGTAAGCTACAGTACATGTGGCACAATGGGCACCCACAGCCCTCTCTACCAGCCAAAGACCCAAGTGCATGGGTTCTTTTTTCTAAACTAAAACCTCACATTCAGGTTTAACTGCAGTGTTGACACTTTGTAATAAATCAGTGAGCTGCAGTTTAAGCACTCGGTCTCTAAAAGGCTTACTATTACTGACCTAGACAAACTAATTGAGGCTTCAAAATCATCTGTTTTGGGGCCAGGGAGATGGCTCAGTACAGTAAGAGCTTGCCTGGCAAGCATAAGGGCCTGAGTTCAACCTCCGGTTCCACCAAAAACAAACCAACAAACAAAAATCTATTTTACTAAACCTTCCTTCACTATTCTAGTCTTTGTGTTTTTCCTGTCTGAACTCATTCAGAATTAATCACACACATACCATATATTTTAGACCTAAAATTGTTTTTGTTTTTGTTTTGTTTTTTCCAGAACTGGGGATTGAACTCAGGTGCTTGTCAGGGAAGCGCTTATTCTACTGAGCCATCTCTCCAGCCCTGGACCTAAAATTTAGAATCATATAAAAAGTATGAGGAGAGACTAGGCATGGCAATGCATGTCTGTAATCCCAGTGCAAGGGAGGCTGAAAACAGGAGGATCACTACAAGTCAGAACTGCAGTGAGACCCTGTCCCAAATAAATCAAAAATAAAATAAAAGCATGGGTAGTAGTATATTCTATCTAGTCAGTGCCAAGCATATAAGTGAATAATAACACACTGCACTGAACTTTACAGAGTCCTAACTGTGATGCTTATTTATTTATTGAGCATCACATATGGCTAAAAGCTGCAGGAGGTTTAAAGGCCACGACATAGCATAAACAGAAACACTGTCAAACTGTAATGATGGCTAAGTAAGTGTTTAAAGGCATATAGAGAGATCATTCTCTCCAATGAAAACCTACAGATGTTTCATGGAAGAATATTTATAGTTAGTCATCACACATTACAGTATCATGTGCTTACTTCAGACACATATTAATCTGGCTAAAAAAGAGACAAGAGAGAGAAAAAAAAGGAGTGTGGTAAGGGAAGGGGAGAGGAGGAATGCAGGGGAGGCAAAGATATACACTGTAAGAGTTGGGCTACAGGAGCCAGACATGGCAGCGCACACCTGTGAGCCCAGGACTTGGGGCTGAGGGAGGAGCATCGCTGTGAGGCCAACCCCGGCCTGGCTACATAGTGAGTTCAAGGCTGGTCTACACTACATGGTGAGATCCTATCTCAAAAAAACAAAATTTTAAGAGGCCACAGAAACCGGAATTTCAAGTTAAGAATTTCCACTTTTTAAGAAGAATTTTAGGAAAAAACCTTGAGTGAAGGTGTGAAATGATATGAGTTAATAGTAAGTATACAGGGGGCTGGTGAGATGGCTCAGTGGTCTAAAGCATCTACTTAGAACAAGCTTAGCGAAGCCCAGGGACCATGGTTCAATCCCCCAGCACCACATGCCAGCCAGCCCGCCCCCTGGTGGGCTGAGCTGGCCACACACACACACACACACACACACATAAATAAATAAATAAAATTTAAAAAAAATAGTAAGTATACAATCAGTATGGAAGGCAATTATTAAAATTCAAGACTAACAGGAAGTAAATTAATATAATATAGTCATTCGTGGGAAATTATGAAGCAATAAAAGACAGGATTTTTAAACAATATCCAACTGGGTGAGGAGATGCATGCCAGTTGTCCCAGCCCTCAGGTGGCTGAGGCAGGATGATTGTCACATGTTCAAGATGAGCCTGGGCTACAAAGTGAGCTCAAGGCCAGCCTGAACTGCATATAGTGAGATTCTGTCTCAAAAAGACAAAAAAAAAACAAAAAAACAAAAACAAAAAAACAAAAGAGAGAGAGAGAGAGAGAGAGAGAGAGAGAGAGAGAGAGAAAGAGAATATTTACTGGTAAGTTGAAAGAAACAAGATAGAGAACTTACAGAAAAAGACTACGAGAAAATACAATCAATAATGGCTTTTCTTTGGATGATACAACATTATGGCTAACATTTCATTGTTTTTCTTCCTTAAACCAACTATTTACAGCAATAAGCATTTACTTGTCAAAATAAAAATGAATATTTACTTTTAAAACATGATCTGTCTATGGCACACACCTATAATCCCAATATCCAAGAGCTGAGGCAGGAGGCCAGCCTGCACTACATACTGAACTATATAGTGAGAACTGCTCTCAAAAGAAACAAAAAACAAAAACAAAAAAGTGATCTGTCCCTAAGAGGAGCAGGAAGCTTACTTGGTTAAGCTTCCAAAGCAATGAGAGCCAAAGGGCCTTACCTTTGGGATCCACTTTCCGCCTAGGAAATTACCACAGGCTGGGCACTTAGGTGGTTTATGCCTGGTGACATATGTAAAGGAACAACCTGGACTGGTGCAAGTTCCATGGCCCCGGCGGGTATAGGTAGTCGTCTGTTTAAAAAAAAAGCATAAAAACCAAACATGACCAATCTCTATCAGACCCTGTTGTTCATTACAACCACAACATTAGGATACAGTTTATAAAAGAACAGCTATTCACGGTATCACAAAAGGGCAACACTACAAAATTCTAATATACAAGTCCTTCTTGTCAAAAATGAAACGAGTTCAAAAGGAAAAAAGACAGCTGCTCACAGTTAACACAGTTGGGTGCCAAAATAATGAAGACACTGTAGTTGCTATTAATTGAGCAAGGTACTGCAAACAAGCAGAAACAGCTAAATGACACCCCCGATTTGGAAGCAGATTTATTTACATCAATGGGCACTGATCAGGATCATTCCCAGAATACAAGGCCCCAATCTCTGGTGGTCTAGGGCTTATACTGCATAAGCAAGCAGGAAGTAGAGGCAGACTGCCTCGTCCATTGGGAATTGGTTTGTACAATTTGCTTCATAGTGACAGCTATGCATCACAGTGACCAGCCGTTTCTAAGAGACGGGAGCAACAGGAACTGCAACAGGACCAATTACCTGGGCAGCTGGGAAACTGAAGTACGCTAGCTGGAGGGGAGGGAGGATGGCATTTTCTGCCCCAGAGCGAGACAGTGCTAAACAATGCCAATAACTCATTTAATACTCTCAGCACTGTTATTTAGTTGCTATTATTACTGCTGAGGTTCAGTGTAGTTAAAAGCTTTGTCTCAAAGTGACTCAGGGCAAGCTAGACCCCAGAATTTATATCTGGATGTTTGGTGTGCAATTAATTCTATGCACCTACCTGTTCCTTCTAGCTCTGAATACTTCAAAAAAATTGCCTGATCTTTATTCTTGGTAATTAAAAATCAGAGAACCAAAAAAAGAAAAAAAAAAAAATCAGAGAACCCAGAACCTTGAATTCAGGGACATAAAAATAGATCCATGGTTACTGAGGGTAAAGACAAAAAAAAAAAAAAAATCTAGGAACAGAAACCAGGTCCTTTGATACTGAATAGGAATGAAGTTATTTGCATGAGTATAGGCAACCACTGCCTCCACCATCTCTGCTGATCTCCCTTCCAGCAAAGTGTATTACAGTGAGTTACTACACTCCAGAAACAAACAGAAACCACTCATTTATTATACATGGCCCATTTCTACATGAATATGGGAAAGAAAACATTCCCCATCAGATGTGTCCTGTCACTTGTACATGTTTACTTAGTATTCCCAGCTTCCTTAGCCTGGCCAAAAATCAAAAACCTCCCTTAGGAAAGAAACTAACATCAGCTACCTCTGCAAGGAAGCCTGAAGAAAAGCTGTTTCCTCTAATGGTACTAAGTCAAGGACAACTGTAGAGATGTGGCGCTAAAGGAGACCAGTCTTTAAGTTCAAACCTTGCCACAAACACTGAATGACCTTGGGGTAAATCGTCTTAACTTAGGGCCCCTGGTTTCCTTTTCTGTAAATTTCTCTGCTTTTCCTATTTCACAGGAATGTCTTGAGGAGCATGGGTAAAGAATGAGGAAGCATCCACTTATTAAATTGTTAAAGATTCTATAAGTTTGCAAGAAAGTATTATTACTGGGATGCAAAATCTCATCTTTTTCTCAAACTACAGCTCAATATAGAATCTTCTTATTGAACATCCCGAGGAAGCAGAATAAAAACTTCAGAAACCTTAGTTTTGAGTAAATTAATATGAATCTTGAAATTTCTCTGAGTATATTAATATAAACCTGGAAATACTCCTAGAGTAGCTTATAATAATGACTTCAGAAAAAATGCTAATATTCCACAGTATTTTATTACCTCGTATTACGCACAAAACACTTTTCCAGAAGATCCTGAGCACTGTTGGGCGTATTCAAGAAGATCTTGACTGACACTTTGGTTTGTTCCTAGGGTTTTTTGTTTGGTTTGGGTTTTTTTGAGACAGTCTTGCTTCTGTAGGGTGGCCTAGAATTTGAAATCCAGCCTCACTCTGAGTGCTGGGATTATAGGCATGCTCCACCATGGTGGCTTGGCTAATAACTTATTAAAGCATGGCAGAACAGTCATTTCTTTTGTTGTTATTTTGTTTTTTGAGACAGGGTCTCAAGTAGCTCAGGCTGGCCTTGAACTCACTATGTGACCTAGGGTGGCCTCAAACTTGCAGCAATACTCCTACCTCAGTTTCCCAAGTATTTGGATTACACGTGAGCACCACCACCCCAGGGAAGAACAGTCACTTCTGGGACCACAAGGGCTCAAGACGAATAGCTTTTTCTCCATGAATGGAGATAACAGTGGCTACCCCTTTTCCATCTGTCTTAACCAAAAGCATACTGTTTAACCAAACAGTTACCCAATCCCTACAGTCCCAGCTACTTGGGAGGGTAAGGAGAGAGGATCCCTTGAGTTGAAGACCAACCTGGATAACACAATGAGATCCCATCTCAAACAACAATAATAAAAACCACACAAAGAATACACTGATGGGCCAGGGAGATAGCTAGTGCGGCATAAGCAACTGCCTGGCAAGTGCAAAGTCTCAAGTTCGATCCCCAGTACTGAAAACAAAACACAACCAGAATACATTGCTTATCTATAGCAGTGCCTTTTAAAGGTAAGACAAAACTGTGATAATTTAAAAATGCATACCATGGGCCAGGGAGATAGCTCAGCGGTCTAAAGCACCTGCTTAGGCAAGCTTAGGCAGGTGCAGGGGACTGCGGTTTGATCCCCAGCACCACATGCCATGCCAGCCCCACCCTCAGGGTGGGCTGAGCCAGCCAAAAAAAAAATATATATATATATACACAAAACTTAAAAATGCCTACTATTACTTTAAACAAATTTAAAATAACCAAAATAAGGTCAACAGGTAATAAGCCATTAAAATGAGAAACAGATTCATAATAATTCAATTGAAAGAAAGGATAATAAAACATATGGGACAAACAGATAACAGATCTAAATCTAATGAATCAATAATATTAAACATAAATTCTCTATTTAAAAGATAAATTGTGAGGTCTTGCTTTTGTGTCAAAACTATATGTTGGCCATAGGGTGGTGGAGAGAAAATCCACTGTAAATATAAAGACGTAAACCAGTTCAAAATGAAAGAATGGAAAAAGGGACATCACACTAATAAAAAAATTTGGACATCAATGAAGATTTCAAACAGATAATATTACTGGAGATAAAAATGGTCACTTCATAACATAGGGGTCAATTCATCAAGAGCACCTAAAAAAAAAAAAAAAAAAAGAGCACCTAACAACCCTAAATATTTATGCAACCAATAAGAATCAAAATACACAAACGCTTGGAAGGCTGAAAACAGGAGAATCATGATGAGTCTGATCTACATAGTGACACCCTGTAGACACTGTAGACCGTGTACCAAATACATTAAATAAATAAATAAATAAATAAATAAAAAAGGAGAATTACAAAAATAACATAACTGTAAGAAGAACTAGATAGACAACCTACTCTCGTCCCTTTCAGTCTCTCTTACACAGATGCTTTCATTCTCCAATAGATTCTGTTCTGAAGAAAAGAAACAAATCTGTAATGGTTGGATGCCTTTTCTCAATAATCGATGAACAAGTAAATAGGAAGTGAGGACTATAAAAAAAAATGTTGAAGAACACCATCAATCAAACTGACTCAATATGACATGTATAGAATACTCCAACAGCAAAAATACCTTCCCTTGAAATGTACATAGAGCAATTATCAAACCATACTCTGGGCCATTAAACAAATCCCAATAAATTTGAAAAGATTCAGGTATCATAAACCATAAGGCTCTGGCCACAAAAGAAATTATGGAAGAGAGTTGTTTTGTTTTCTTCTTCTTCTTTTTTTCTTTCTTTCTTTTTTTTTTTTTTTTTTTTTTGTGGTACCAGGGATTGAACTCAGGACCTTGCGCTTGCCAGGCAGGTGGGTGTCACTACACAGCTTGGACATGTAGTTTCAACGTCCCCAGTGCTGGGATTACAGGCGTGCACCACCATGCCCAGACTCTTGTCACCAGCTCAGCAAGCCCTGGGGGTGGGGCCAGCACAGCATGCAGGACCTGGAATTAAACCCTGGTCCCTGCACTTGCCAAAGTAGGTGCCTAGTCCACTAAGCTATCTTGCCGGCCCTCCACAAAAAAATTATAAATCAATAATAGAAATGTAGGGCTGACGAGATAGCTCAGCAGTATAAGTGTCTGTCCGGCAAGCATAAGGTCCTGGGCTTGATCTGCGGTACCAAAAAAATAAATAAATAAATAATAATAACAACAACAACAATAATAGAAACATATCTGGAAAATACCCAAATATTTGGAAAATAAGTAACATACAGAAGTAACTCAAACCAGGTGTGGTGGTGCATGCCTGCAATCCCAGCACTGGGGAGGCTGAAAACAGGAGGATCACTATGAGTCCTAGCTGTATAGTAAGACTCTACCAAATACACAGAAGTAACTCAGAAAGTATTTTGGAATCAAAATTAAAATATACTATGTCAGAATTCATGGGATGATACTGAAGCAGTATTTGGCAGAAGATTTATAGCACTAAGCATCTATATTAGAAAAGAAAACAGGTGTAATTAATGTCAGTATCTTAAGAAAAAAAAGAGTGATTGAGGCATGGTGGTTTATACCTGTAATCCCATACTCTTCAGAGGCCTAGGAGAGATGATCACCATGAGTTTGAGGCCAGCTTGAGCTACATAATGAGTTCAAGACCAGCCTGAACTACATAGTGAGGCTCTGGATATACAGTTTCTATTTGGAACAACGAAAAAGTTCTTGGAATTTATTTAATGCCACTGTATTGTACACTTTTTTGTATTGTACACTTAAACTCTTTAATAAATTTTACATCATATATTATTTTATTTGAAAAAAGGATCATAAGGGAATATTACATCAACTCAACTGACAACCTAATAAATGACAAATTCTCTGGAAGACAGAATAGCAAAAGCTTACTCAAAAATACCATATTACCTATTGGTAATATAGATAATCCTATATGTAATTTAAAAATTGTACTTGCAGTTAAAAATATTCCCACAAAGAGAACTCTAGAATGTTCAAATGGGGAGGGAAACAAAGGAGAAGGAAGGAGGTAAGGAAAGGAAAAAGTAAAAAATGAAAGAGACAAGTAAAACATGACCTAAAGTTTTTGTAAATGGGAAGAGGAAGAAGGATTAAAGGAAGGGTGGGGAATAGGAAAAACAAACAAGTCATATCATGTGCACGTACAAATCCTCTGACAAATGTGATCATTATATGTATCTAAAATGTACCAATAAAATCTAATTTTACAAAAAGTGAGAAAGAAAACAACCAGAACCTTAAAAGGAGAGGAGGAGCCTTGCTCTTCACTGTCAACATTGCATACATCTCTTTGCTACATTGTGCAAGAAGGGTTTGAATTACATAGTATCTAAAATCTCTCCAAAACAAGAAACTCCAGGCTCCAATAACTTCACTAGAAAATCAAACATTTAAGAAATAATGTGGCTGGGGAGAGAGCTCAGCAGCGTAAGCACCTGCCTGGCAAGTACAAGGTCCCCAGTTTGAGCCCCAGTACTAGATAATTAGAGGGCAATGTCTCTTATGAGCACAGATTCAAAAATTCTGAACAAAATTTTAATGAATCAAATCCAACAGTATGTAAGAGGGATAAATAGATTATTGCCAAATAAGTTTTATCCCCAGTAAGGCTGGGTTGGTTGAACATCTGAAAAACAATGAGGTTCACCAAATTAACAAACTAAGAAAGAAAACCCATTGAACTATCTCAACAGACACAGAAAAAGTATCTGACAAAAATCAAACATCTATTCCTAATAAAAACTCCTAACACATCAGTAAAATAAGGAAACTTCTTGAATTTGATAAAAGGCTTCTATTAAAAAGAAAAGAAAATACAGGGGCTGGAAAGTTAGCTCACCGAACTAAGCTTCTGCTTAGGCAAGAGCAGGGACCAGGGTTTTATCCCCAGCACCACAGGCTGCACCAGCCCTGCCCCCAGGCTCCCTGAGCTGGCCACCAAATCCAGGAATGGTGGCACATGCCTATAATCCCAGCGCTGGGGAGGCTGAAAACAGGAGGATCACCATGAGTCTGAGCTGCATAGAGAGACTCTGTACAACCAAATACATTAAAAAAAAAAAAAAAAAGACAAATACATCTGCTCTTAGCACTTCTATTGAGCTTTATACTACAGGGTCTCTACACAGTAATGCAAGAAAAAAGTATCACGAAGCTGGATTAGAAAGGAAGATACAAAACTAAAACTTTTACTCACAGACATGATGGCCTTTATAGAAAATCCAACTGAATCTACAAAACAGCTACCAGAACTAATAAATGAGTTCACAAAAGTTGTAGGATGTAACACACACACACACACACACACACACACATATACATATAACATATATGTGAAAATAAATAAATATATATACACACACACCTGCATTAGTACAAGTAGCAGGAAACAATGAGAGAAAATTGAGAAGTAGGACTTACAAAAGACTCAAAACATAAAAATATTTAGGGATAAACCTCAGATCAAACATAAAAGTATTTTGATGGAAAAAAAAACCATCAATTGAGAATCCAACTGGTTGTAATTTTGCATGCCTGTAATCCCTGCACTCGGGAGGCTGAGGCAGGAGCATCAGTGTGAGTTTAAGGCCAGCCAGGGCTACAAAGAGAGTTCAATGCCAGCCTGAACTGCGTAACACAATACTGTCTCAAAAAGAGAAAACGGGGGGTGGGGAGGGAGAAGGGGGAGAGGGAGGGAGGGAAGGAGGAGAAAAACATCAAGAATGCAGAATCCTGGCTCTGGCTTAGTAGTCTTGAAATTCCTTTCTTTTCTCTGAGTCTTTTAAAGAATCTGTTACAAGTATTTAATTAGAACAGTGGCTCCTCAATTTTTCAAAATTATGTTTGCATACAAAAAACTGATAAAAGCAATCAAAATGATTGCAGGACAATGCTCTCTAGTAGTCTGTACACAACTGGAGAGGAATTCGTGGATCTTCTGGGCTCTACCTACAGAATCCCTGTGTTTTAGAACACATAGGTTTACACCCTGTGTTTTAGAACACATAGGTCACTTAAATCCTGAACCTTTACCAATCCCAGGGACCCTAAGGTGCTAAGACTTTTAGAAAACTATTTGGAACAGGATGCTTATGGAGCCCTGATTACTGAAAACTCTCCATGTACTAACCAGTTTGATGGGAGAGGGATTTTCCACAACTGAGTAAGTAGGCACAGGCAACATGATGAACTGTGTGGCTGGTGAAGAGGAGCTACCTTCACTGGAATCCTGTGGGCAACAGAAAAGGACAGTTTCACTGCAACAGAATATAGAACATCCAGGGCCAGTGCCAATACTGGAAGACTGGATTGAGCCCAGTACCCATAATGTGCTTATCCAACATACTTACCAAATCAATCCAAAATTATCTCACAATAAAGTTTAGGAACAAAAAGAAAATCACCATAGAAAATGTGCTATCCTAATTTTATAGACAAAAAAACTAAAGTTCTAAGAGATTTGAACTTCCCAGATCACATAAGCTCTTAGTGAGAAGTCCATATTCTTTTTTGTTATTGTTGTTTTTGGTGCCAAGGACCGAGCCCAGGGCTTCCAGTTTGCTAGGCAATCATTCTACCACTGAGCCAAATCCCCAGCCCTGAGAAGTTCCAATTCTTATGCCCTTGTCAAATGTGCTTGGCATGCTAGTAATGCTAAGGCTAGTGGCCCACTTCATTAACAATGAGGCCATAAATAAAACTAGGATTTTTCAGTCTCAGATGAACTTCTCAGAGGAATATGGGCTAGTGGGTATTGGGCTCTTAACCTAAACAGAACATCCATCTATCTGAGGATGATATTCTACCCAGAGTAAAAGAGGCTTATATAACAGGCCACAGTGGTAGTTCCCCTACTTTCAGGGGACTAGGCTGCAAAATAAATGAAACTGCTGCTTTCCCCTCAACTTAGCATAGCTCTCAGGCAAGCATAGGGACTTGCTCTTCTTTTTCAGTTACTACCATAGTCAACCTAGCCTTGAAGAGATTATCTTTGTTCCTCCATCTATTCCTATGAACACATTTTAATGATTCTCATATAGATTTCAAGATGTCACTGTATTTGCTGAAGTAATCATCAGGAACACAAACTCCTGATACTAATACCTGGAAGATCTGGGCTTTGACACATGGATAGCCCTAAATATCATTTCCAATTTTCTTGCTAATGCTGGGTAAAGAAGAGTTGGTAAGAGAGCCCAAGAAACTGAGAACTTTGGAGCAAGCTCAGGGATGAGAAATGTCCAAGGGAAATGCCATAACGGCACTAGAAGAGCCATGCAATGCTCTTAACTACCACTGCTCCAAATGACACTGCTGGCTGCTTTTTTAGTAACTCCATATAAAGCAAAACACCACTTACCCTCATGACTGTCACCACCGACACACTCTCCCCAGCCTGGGTGCGGGGCACAGCCAGGTTTCCAGTGGGAAGTTCTGAGGTGCTATTCAGTAAGGTCTCTTCAATTACCAGGTTTGTCTGGTAAGGCTGGTGGCTCTCCCCGACCTCCAAGGAAGCCTCCTCCAGGAGTACATCCTGGGTGAGGATCTCTGAAGTAGTAATCTCCTGAACAGCACCTGGTTGAGCAAGGGCTCCCACCTCCTCCGCCAGAGTCTCCTCAGCCAGGCACTGCTCTGCTAGGCCCACATGGCTGGGCACTGTCTCGGGGGCAGTTACAACAGAAGGTCCTTTAGGGGACATCTGGTTCTGAGCTACACACAGCTCCAGTTGAGAGCAGCTTTGATCCTCCTGGAGGCTACTCTTAGGGATGATGATGTATTCTGAGCGGGGAAGGATCTTGCGGAAACCTGGGATGTCTGGAACCACAGCAGTCACTGTAGAGAGCTTAGTGTTCTGAGAGTAAAGAAGCCAAGAAGGAGACAGGCAGGTATAAATGAACCAAGGTCACATAAAAGCATATCTACTAGCTTGTTTGTTTGTTTTTTCTGTTAATGTGACTAGAAAAAAAGACTCCACTTTCTAACCTAGAGGACCAGCCTCTGCCAACAGCAGTATCATCTTTATTTAAATCAATGGAGTTTGCTTGCTTGATCACACAGAAATACCATGGATTACACTGTGGACAGGGCACTGATTTGGGCATCTAAAACTGCAAGCTGGATCAAGGTCTGAGATGGTCTTGAAATACTGTGTCCCCCAACCCCACCCCAGGTCTCAGCTGCCCCATATGTAAAACAAAAAAGTTAAATCTAACGATTTATAACATTCTTTTCAGTTTTGATACTTTAAGATTCCTAAACAGCATTAAAATAGATTTAAATACCAGAATGTGTAATGCTAAAAAGAAAAGCCTCAAAAGCATCAAACCATCAGGCTAAGGTGAAATTCAACATACCAATCAAGCTATCAGTTTTCTCCAGACTTATGTACAAGAGGATGTACACTTCACAAAGATGAAAAAGCTCTGTGAGAGAAAGTACATAGCAGGGACTGTCTTATGAGGTCCTGAACATATTTTTTAAAGTCTTAAAACTGACCTAGCACTTTGAAGTTTAGAAAATGTTAGTTTCATCTCAAAAACAACACTATTAAACGAGAAACTGTTATTATTTTCATTTAACACATAAAGACATTGAGGCTGATGCTTGAGAGTTATACTTTCAAAACACAAAATCAGTAAGTAGCAAAGATTTGTACTCCAGGTCAAGTGTTCTACAGACCAAGAAGAGCACACACTGCTGACAACCCTACTGGCTAATTGACACCAAAAAAATCAAAAGCAACCCCCCTAAATTTTTGTATTATTCAATTTAAAACTGAATGTCACCCAGTGAAGAAAATAGAAGTTCAGAGTTAAGTGAAAACCAAAGTTCAAAGGAACAAAACATAATTTCAGAAACATCTTTTAAAAGGAGTACTAAAATCAATTACAAAAGGATCCTTAAATCAAAACCAAGACATCAATAAGACTACTTAACACACAAAGGAAGAACTCAGAGATAAAAGTGAAAACCACTCAGATGACACTTGAAAGTAGACAGACTGAATCCTTGATGGAACCTTTATGGGAGAGGTAATGACATTCTCAAGTCACCTTTTGAAACACACAGGTTAATGGAACCCGACTAACTGGTGGCAAATATATAGGATGGCCTAGACTTAAATCCAAGCAGAGGAACTAGACAGCATTACTTTCACAGACTAGAAGAAGTACCAATGGAACCATAAGCACTGCTCTTGGCAAGAGATCAAAAAGGACTCCAAAAGGCTCTCTGTGTAGAAAGATAGAAAGCTCAGGGCCAGCAAGATAGCTCAGGGGTCTACAGCGCCTGCTTAGACAAGCACTCAGGGACCAAGGTTGGATCCTAGTCATCACATGTCATGCCAGCCCCAACCCTAGGATACGCTGAGCCAGCCACCAAAAAAAAAGGGGGGAGGGGGCTCACCTTCACACAAGCAATGGCAGAGAGAGGGTAGATTTAAATAAGCATGCGGCTAAGGAAGAATCATTGTGTATGACTTACTTAAAATTTTTAAAGTGTTGATAAGGGTCTATGGCAGTGCTTGATTTTAAAAACCAAAGGATTCCAAAATTAGATAAAATTGTCTTTATCACAGACGAAAGGACTGCATTTCCCTTTTTTTCAGTGCTGAGGACCGGCCCCACAAACTCCCACGTCCTAAAGTGCTTCTGCCATTGAGCTCTATGCCAGCTCCTAAGACTGCAGATTTTATAGTGGGGACACCAAAGAGGATAGGTGTACTTGTTTTAGACTCTATGTGCCTCCACCCCAGGGATTATTTCCCAGATTCACTGCTTACAAACAAATCATTTAGAAGGAGCAGAAAGTAGCATCTTCCAGAGTAGGTAACAGAAAGCTCTTTGAGGAAGAGAAATGTCAAGGCAATAAAGACAGTATCATCTAAATGACAGTGGCAGTGGGACTCCTATATCCTGTTCTGCTAAGTAACCATTACTGCCGTCCTGAGGAGCCTCTGTTCTACATTACCAAAAAACAAGTGAGAGATGATGGCTTCAGTGGAAAAAAGGACTGCGGGTTATAGGCTACCGGCTGCAGCAGCAAGGTTACTGTTCCTGCAGGCAGTTCAAATAAAAAGGAGAGAGAACAATCTGCATAGTATCCAGCATACTTTGTAACTGTGAACTAGAAATAACACAACAGCTGACAAACATAATCCTAACTGCTTTCTTACTGGTTTTTTTTATCCAAGCACTCAAACCCTCAGTTTCCTCTATCCCTTTGGCCTTAACCCTGCATTTTGCTTCTAGCATACTACAGTTCACAACCACCATTAGTCACAAGAACCTGCTATTTAAAAAAAAAAAAGGCAGCTGTATCTTACCTCTACAAATGAAAGCCTGATTGTAACTAATAGCAGTCAGTAAAACACAAATTATACTACATTCAGTTTGTAATATGAAAACATGATGGAGAAATGCCCTTATAAGGCAGTATATTAAAGGAAAATATCACTTCCTATCCATGAGGATAATAGCCTTTAAATTATATTAAAATTCAAAAGAGGGACCTAAGAATCACTGCAGAGAACACAGGAAATATCAGCTCCAGGTACTGTGGCAATCAAAGAGGACAAGAGTGTAAGGCATCATCAAAGTGGAAACAAGGAGGCTCAAGAAAGATAAAATGGTGTTTCCCAAAGAAAAGGAGACAGGAAAACAGGCATGTTGGCCTCCCCAAAGGTTTCCCCATTGAACCAACAGAGGAATTAGGTTGGGGCAGAGGGACACTTACAGGATCCAAACCTTCTTTTTCTAGTTTGGCTTTCTCCAAGTAGTAACTCCTCTCGGCCACACTGAGAAGCCTCCAACTCTCACTAATCTTCTTATTGATCTCAGACTGCGGGAGGTGGGGAAGCTCCTGCTGCACTTTCAGGTAGATGTCGTAGTAGTATAAAAGGTAAGCAGACCTGAGGAAGCAATGATGTCTTCAAGCTTTCCCTTATTCAACCACAAGTACTACATGGTTAAGGACTGGGTAGTCAGGAGGATGATACAAAACCCAGCTTCTTAATCCAAAGCATTTATCTAAAAGGGACTGAAAGTCAAACAAAGAAACATTTATCATACCCCAGGTGGCATGTGGGCAAAATGAATGGTAAGTTGTCTGTTCTCTTCTCAGAAACTGGAAACAAACGTTTACCTGGTGTACCACAGATCATGTTTTCTGTAGGAATGACAACTTTTAAAATCCAATATAGGCAAAGAAAGGTCCAGGTGTTCTGTCATTCTACTCTCAGAGAAAGGTTACTCAGGCAGCTTATTGCCCAAGCTCTTTACTGCTCTATACAGCCTTTGGTCATCTAACTCATCAAATGCATCTCCTCAAAGTTGAGAAATTTATTAAGTACAATTATCAAAGTGACCCAATGCTGATAACTTCTGCAAGAGGTCTGCACTGTTCATAGTGAAGAGATTAGAAATACAATCTGGATATTCTCTATAGATACCACTGGCACCAGTACTTACAATTCCATAATTTCATTAAAGCCATATTTTAAATATTTAAACAATGGTACAATAAAAAAAATAATGCAGCTCTTCTGTATGAAGTTTCTACCATCTGTATAGTATAGCTTCCTGTCACAATCTGGAAATAAAATCTAGCAGGAATGGCAAATACAGTATTAACATAAATCTGGCCATTTCCAATGTCTCTCTTTCCTGATACCCTAATACACATTGAGAAAACATCAACAAAACATTCTTTCTCTGCAAATGGTAAAAGTTTTCCTCAACGTAGCTTTTTATCAGCTTTTTATAACTGTCAGCAGTAACCAAAACATGTTGGCTAACCTGGGTTTCTTGGCCTTTTCTCCATGTATTTTATACTTTTTCTTCTTCTTGGGTGGTCCAGGAGAAGTATAACAGTAGACTTCCTTAATTTCCTCCATCACAACAGTTACCTCAGTACCATCATATGATGCATCCATGACTAGAAAGGAAATCAAACACAAAGTTTTAAGAATGTACACAAGGGCTGGCCAGATAGCTTGCCAGATTAAAGCGCCTGCTTAGGGGACAAGGGTTTGATCCTTGGCATGTGGTGCTGGCCCCACCCCTGGGCTGCTGTGAATGGGACTGGGTGTGGTGATCTGTGCCTATAATCCCAGTGCTTGGGAGGCTGAAAACAGGAGGTTCACTATAAATCCAATCTGTGCACTAAATACATTAAAAAAAAAAAAAGTACCCTAAAGGGGCAGCAGCCTCCAGATCGAATAATCCTTCATTCTAGGCAGTACATAGGATACTTTGAAGTTGAATATACAGATTTCAGAACTCCAGTTCAGCACTTCTGAATTAGAGCATATGGAAATCTATATGGTTAACAAACAGATGATTTCTTTAACCAAGCACTTATATTTATTCACTCATATTTATTTGTTTATTTTATTCACACAGTAATCTTTCTGCTCCATTTTTTTTTTTTTTTTGAACGAGGGATTGAACTCAGGCCCTTGCAAGCCAAGCAAGCACTTATTCTACTGAGTCATCTCCCCAGCCCTCAATGACTTTTTAGTCCCACATTACAAAAATTCCATACAGGAAAAGCTAAAATGAATAGCTGGCCGAGAGTAGAAGTTTTGGCTGTTCCTTCATGTTTCATCAGTTCAAACAGCTTCATTCATTCATTTAAACATACAATAAGGATCTATATGCAAGAGATTTTTACTTTGCCAACTTCTATAATTTTGTGGTATGTCTTTCAAAATGCTTTATGCTCAATTCATTCTCTCTCTCTCTCTTTCTCTCCCTCTCTGTCTCTCTCCATCCTACATATTAAAAACATTTTTCACTCATCTTTCCAGTTGTATAGTATAACACTTAAAGCACATAACTGACACAAATTTACTTAAGAACAGTCAAGTGCTATACAAATTAAAGGGCTAATTATTAAAAACTATCTACCAGCAGCTTTTATGTCTAAAAGGAAGATATACAGAAACCAAGGCCACCAGGTTCAAATGGGGGCTTAACAGAGGCAGATTTTTAAAAAGAAAAATGTAAAAACTCAATTCTTTGGTCCTTCCTAATATGACACCACTCCCCATCTCTAAGAGCAACTCTCTACACCAGAACTATTCAACAAACTCTAATGGAGAAGCTCTATATCTATGCTGTCCAATAGCCACCAGCTGTACATGCCTATTAATACACTCAAAATAAGGCTGTTACTTAGAACTGATTAATTTTGCTTTGTTAAACTGTAATTACACAGTCACATATGGCCAGTGTAGTGATACAGTACAGGTCCAAGAATAATTTAACAGAACAATGTAGGGCCAACCACATAGCTCAGCAGATTAAAGCACCTGCTTAGGCAGAGTACAGGGACCAGGGTTCAGTCCCCAGCACCTCAAGCCATGCTGGCCCCGCCCCTAGGGCATGCTGAGCTGGCAATTCAGACTGGGTGTGGTGGCTAACTTCTAATCCCAGCACTTGGGAGGCTGAAAACAGGAGGATCCAATCTGTGTAGTGAGACCCTGTGGACCTTGTACAAAAAACAATATAAAAAAAGAAAGAAAAGACCAATGCTATCTCTTTGCTGCTGGCCTAAAAAACAATCTACCAGCAGCTTTTATGTCTACAAGGAAGATATAAAGAAATAGCATGACACTTCAAAAGAAGAGCTCATTTATTTGTGGCCACGTTCTAAGCTGGGGTGATAACTCAATCATTGGTGGGAGAAACAATCCTCAAAAATCACCTTAGTTTATGACAAGGAGACATTATAGTCGCTCTTGGAAATTTATCAAATGCAAGCTTATTCTGATTCCAGAAAGAGGGAGTTGTTGTGATAAACAAAGGATACAGGCAGTACAAAGCCCAGCTGCATCTCATTTACCCTCCTCACTCTAAAGTGACAAGGTATCCAACACACCTAATGACAAAGAAGGCTATGTGGACTCAGGAGACGTGGATCCAATTTTAAACTCTTACCATGCGATTACACCCTGAATCTCAGCAGTTTCTACTGTAAGATAAAGGTAAAGGTAATGGCTCCTATTCTTGTGGGAAACAAGTATCTTTTCAACAAATGTGAAAGCTTAAAAACTCTCTTAGGGGCCAGAGAGATGGCTCAGTAGAATAAGTGCTTCCCTGGCAAGTGCAAGGGTCTGAGTTCAATCCCTGGTACTGCAAAAAAACAACAACAAACAAACAAAAAAAAAACTCTCTTAGAAAATGCATATGCACATTTTGAATTTTGAAGGTATAACCCAGGTTAAGAACATAGTATTCCTGGGGGGCCTGCCCCTTAGCTCAGTTCTTTAAGTGGCTGCTTCAACAAAGCAGTCAGGCTCAGGCTGCTGTGGTTCAATCCCCACAACTCAAGCCATCCAAACCTGCCCTGAAGGCATTTGGAGCAAAAAAAAAAATTACATACTATTCCTAAGGACCTTTATAGTACTGTCATTTCTAAATGATTCCTTTTCCACCACTTCCCCCAAACTAAAACAACCTGTATTGTAACTACCATAGTGCAACTCGTAAAAAGAACAGTCGCCAACCTCGCTGGGTAAGCAAAAGGTTAATGGTAGCAGTTCAAATCAAGAGTATGTGGGGCCTGTACTTTTTTGCCTTTGTAACTGAACTCCTGGCCCTTCTTGAAAGTCTAGTGGGGAGCAGTAGCTCCGAGACAGCGTCCATAAAAAATAGCACATACAAGCTCAACAACCTGAGCAAAATAAATTAAGAACCAAAGTCATTATTCCACCTCGGGGTGGGGGCGGCAAGATTGCCCAGGGTTTTTTAACTACCAAGTTTGTTTTCAGATCTTAGGCCTCAGTATAGCATGCAAATAAAGACAGATTCGCATGAAGGTTACAACCAAGAGTTCTGGAGGACAGACAGAGGCACGAGCTACAGTTCCACTGTTCAACAGCAACAGCACGGATCCCTATGAACATAAGCAACTTATTCTAAGCTTCAAGACGTCCCTCGCGCAAAAGAGGCGCAGCCCTTGAAACATGCCCCTTTCACTACCACCCAGCAGACCCTCCTCGGACCCTTTTGCGAGGGCCTGTGTTGGTTCGGCCTCACGTCACGGTTTGACTCTGGGCTACTTTCTTTCCTTTTCGGGTGCGAAAGACGCGGACTGCGGGCACACGCACGGGCCCTACTTCACGGCAGAGGCAGGAGGCCGCCGCGAGCCGCAGGGCCCTGCAGGCCGGCGGTGCGGGGGACCCAGGGGCGGGACTTACCCCGAGGAGCGTGGCAGGCGCGCGGCTCACATCCCCGGGGGCGCCGGGCCCACGGGCGCGACGAGAGGGCTGGCCCGCACGCTGGCGCTCCCCACTGTCGCCGAGAGGCGGCTCCAGTCGTGACACCGGCGACAAGGAAGTGGAGGCAGGGGATCGCGCGCGCATCCCGGGGGCTGGAGAAGCCCCGGCCCCGCGGCCCTGCCGGCGACGCACTGCGCGGAGTCGCGAGAGTCCCCCTCGTCCTCTCTTGGGGTCGCTCCGTGGGGTCGTGAAAGACGAGCGCAGGAGCACAGTTTAGCCCGGCAGGATCCCCACCGACGACCGCGAGGACCCACCCCGGGGATCAAGCCCCGGGGTGCCCGAGGAAGAGCAGGGGCGCGAGCGTCGCCGCGACAGCGCTCGGCTGGTGACACCCGCAGCAGCAGGCGCGGCACCAGCACACAGACGGATCGCCAGGGAGACCCGTCCCCGCGGACCTCGCGGCGCACCGGAAGCAGCCTGCGGCGCGTGACCGCGCGCCACCCCGCGCGCAGGCGCAGCTGTCTCGCGTCG